AAAAAATCTTAGCTTCTTAAGCAGTGTAAGGGCCTACATTCTTTTAAATAATTTTTTATTGAAAGCTCATTGAAAAACAGATTTCACTGAGGTGTAGTTTTCTCTTTATCAAAAATTTGTAAAACTTATATATCTGCTTAATTGAAACATGCCTTTACAGTTCAACTTAATAAACTAAATGGAATGAAAAGACTGGAGAAAATTGTGACTCTATAAAGTCTGTGGGATTTGGCCTTTGTTTTTTCAGATTGACAGCTATAGTTGCCAGCATGCTGCTGTCATTTGGTCCTTGCAAAATAAACACTAAGTTAGTAAGAACGTTTTCTGGAAGATTTGTGTGCACCATACTTATGCCTTTGTTATCACACACCAGATGTATTCTTCAAAGATTGTTAAGTTAGTTTTATGAATGAAATCATTTGAATTTGCTTTTGGAAAAAATATGTGAAAAGAAAAAAAGAGGCGATGTGGTTAATTTTTGTTTGTCATGGCAAGAACATGGCCTCCTCCAGTTTTCTATTTTAAATCTAGTTGTACATACAATTTGTTTAATGTGTGATATGCAAAGTGTAAACCAATCAGGCAAGTTTAAATAAAGAATCCAATGTACATTGTAGTTATAATGGACTTTGGATTAATTTGCATCATTAACTTTCCTAAAATTAATTCCTAATATAGTAACATATTGAATATGTTTTTGAAGAAAAATTTAACTGAACAATGGTGTTTGTGAGATTAATAACTGAGAAGTGAATGGTAATAAGTGTGACCCTGGAGTGAGTATTCAAAAAAGTAATTCTGGGAAGCAATGTCTTAGGTTACAGATATCTAGTCACAAAATAAAGCTTATCTGCTAATAATCTTTATAGAATTTGGTGCTTAGAAAAACATGGATAATTATTCTTATTGGAATAATAATCTCTTTCAGGCTCCCTCTGTGATTAGAACAAGAGACCTTAATGTAGAAAGTATAAAATGCCCACTATAGGGCCCTGCGTACAGAGAATGTTTAATTAATTAGGGTAATAATATGTCTTATTTAGGAACTTTTTTTAAAGTGGAAATTCTTATTTGTATTTTGGTATTTACGTTTTCTTTGAACTTCGTCAGTGTCCATAGGAAACATGAGTTATTAATATACCAATGTTCTACAAAATACATTCGCTTTCATACGAAAGTGTTGCTGACTTATTCATAAGTCTCTAAGTAAAGTAGTAATATTTGCATGACACCTATAAAGACACTTTAGCATGGCCTAACCACCGAGCTCACCTTGAGGAAGCACCTTTCATCAGTCCTTGCTTCCCTCCCTGGATTCCTTCCTTAGGATCCAGGTAAACATGTTATTAACTAAATTAGGACCCAGGCCGTTTGGTTAATGAGCAAAGGGCAAATGACAAAATGTTCCTTAAGAAGCAGCATTGCTTATTCAGGAAGTATTCAATTCGTAACGGTCACATCACTTGGTCCTTACTACAGATTTTTATTTTTACTGGCATGTTTTAGTGCTCTGGATAATTCGTCAACATCCTGTAAGTCGTGTGTCCTTCCCTTCCATGTTTCCTTCCAGCTCGCAGATATGCTTTTTGTTGTTTTCACTCTGTCTGCATCTGGAATTCAGTGAGAGCTGCTCCTCTGTACCAGTGCTGAAGTGTTTCTTTGGGGCAAATTAGACATCCTTCCTACTAAAACCTTGACTGAATAATGGGACTGACCAACAGGAAATTGATCCAGAAAAAAATGAATAATATTGAGGGCATATATAATAAGACATTTGCTTTCAAAAGCAAAAATCAGTCATTCACCAAGTATAGTATTTGTTCAACAGAGAAACTAAACAGTGAAATCATAATGAACATGATGCCCATGACCATTTTTCAATTAAAAAAAAACCTTTGTAGTAATAAGCAATTTTATTCAAGAATATAAAGTGTCACATACTGAGTTATCTATTGCTGATTAAGAAAATGCCTCAACATTTAGTGACTTAAAACAACAAATGTTTATTATCTCACATTTTCTGAGTCAGGGACTTGAAGGGTTGCTTAGTTGTCTGGTTGTAGCTCGGGGTCTGTGATGAAGCCGCAGGTAGGAGGTCAGCCAGGGCTGCAGTTACCCGAAGGCTGAACTGGGGCTGGAAGATCTGCTGCCGAGCTCATTCATGTGGCTGTCGGCAGGCGGCCTCAGTCTATCCCATAAGCCTCTCCACGGAACTTCCTAAGTGACCTCATTCCACAGCAGCTGGTTCCACTAGGCAAGCTACCTACCTGAGCAGCCAGGAAGCCTCATGGCCTCCTCCAGTTTTCTATTTTAAATCTAGTTGTACATACAATTTGTTTAATGTGTGATATGCAAAGTGTAAACCAATCAGGCAAGTTTAAATAAAGAATCCAATGTACATTGTAGTTATAATGGACTTTGGATTAATTTGCATCATTAACTTTCCTAAAATTAATTCCTAATATAGTAACATATTGAATATGTTTTTGAAGAAAAATTTAACTGAACAATGGTGTTTGTGAGATTAATAACTGAGAAGTGAATGGTAATAAGTGTGACCCTGGAGTGAGTATTCAAAAAAGTAATTCTGGGAAGCAATGTCTTAGGTTACAGATATCTAGTCACAAAATAAAGCTTATCTGCTAATAATCTTTATAGAATTTGGTGCTTAGAAAAACATGGATAATTATTCTTATTGGAATAATAATCTCTTTCAGGCTCCCTCTGTGATTAGAACAAGAGACCTTAATGTAGAAAGTATAAAATGCCCACTATAGGGCCCTGCGTACAGAGAATGTTTAATTAATTAGGGTAATAATATGTCTTATTTAGGAACTTTTTTTAAAGTGGAAATTCTTATTTGTATTTTGGTATTTACGTTTTCTTTGAACTTCGTCAGTGTCCATAGGAAACATGAGTTATTAATATACCAATGTTCTACAAAATACATTCGCTTTCATACGAAAGTGTTGCTGACTTATTCATAAGTCTCTAAGTAAAGTAGTAATATTTGCATGACACCTATAAAGACACTTTAGCATGGCCTAACCACCGAGCTCACCTTGAGGAAGCACCTTTCATCAGTCCTTGCTTCCCTCCCTGGATTCCTTCCTTAGGATCCAGGTAAACATGTTATTAACTAAATTAGGACCCAGGCCGTTTGGTTAATGAGCAAAGGGCAAATGACAAAATGTTCCTTAAGAAGCAGCATTGCTTATTCAGGAAGTATTCAATTCGTAACGGTCACATCACTTGGTCCTTACTACAGATTTTTATTTTTACTGGCATGTTTTAGTGCTCTGGATAATTCGTCAACATCCTGTAAGTCGTGTGTCCTTCCCTTCCATGTTTCCTTCCAGCTCGCAGATATGCTTTTTGTTGTTTTCACTCTGTCTGCATCTGGAATTCAGTGAGAGCTGCTCCTCTGTACCAGTGCTGAAGTGTTTCTTTGGGGCAAATTAGACATCCTTCCTACTAAAACCTTGACTGAATAATGGGACTGACCAACAGGAAATTGATCCAGAAAAAAATGAATAATATTGAGGGCATATATAATAAGACATTTGCTTTCAAAAGCAAAAATCAGTCATTCACCAAGTATAGTATTTGTTCAACAGAGAAACTAAACAGTGAAATCATAATGAACATGATGCCCATGACCATTTTTCAATTAAAAAAAAACCTTTGTAGTAATAAGCAATTTTATTCAAGAATATAAAGTGTCACATACTGAGTTATCTATTGCTGATTAAGAAAATGCCTCAACATTTAGTGACTTAAAACAACAAATGTTTATTATCTCACATTTTCTGAGTCAGGGACTTGAAGGGTTGCTTAGTTGTCTGGTTGTAGCTCGGGGTCTGTGATGAAGCCGCAGGTAGGAGGTCAGCCAGGGCTGCAGTTACCCGAAGGCTGAACTGGGGCTGGAAGATCTGCTGCCGAGCTCATTCATGTGGCTGTCGGCAGGCGGCCTCAGTCTATCCCATAAGCCTCTCCACGGAACTTCCTAAGTGACCTCATTCCACAGCAGCTGGTTCCACTAGGCAAGCTACCTACCTGAGCAGCCAGGAAGCCATGGTACCTTCTGCGACTAGTTCTTCCCAGTTGCCCACTGTCAGCTCTGCTTCAGCTCATTCAGTTCATTCAAAATGAAAAGTAACTCCAGCCCCCACTCAAAAATAGGGGAATCAGTTTGAAATTGGGAGCATTACATGATGCCTCCAGCTTTGTTTTAGCGTTTTTTGGAATTGCTCTGGCTATTCAGGGTTTTTTGTGGTTCAGTACAAATTTTAGGATTATTTATTGTAGTCTTATAAAATATGCCATTGGGATTTTGATAGGAATTACACTGAATCTGTAGATTTCTTTCAATAGTATGGATATTTTAACAATACTAATTCTTCCAATCCATGAGCATGGTATATCTTTCCATTTATTTGTGTCATTTTCAATTTATTCATCAGTGTCTTATAGTTTTCAGAGTACAGGTCTTTAACCTCGTTGGTTATATTTATTCCTGGCCATTTTATTCTTTTTGATGCAATTGTAAATGGAATTGTTTTCTTAATTTCTCTGTCTTCTAGTTCATTATTAGAAAGCAGAAATGTGGTATATTGGTTGTTTTCTGTAACTTTACTGAATTCATTTATTAGTTCTAATAGTTTTTGGTAGATGAATGGATAAAGAAAGTGTGCTAGACATATATTACATATACACAAAAAAAATTCAGTAGAATATTACTCAGCCATTAAAAAAGAATGACCTTGCCATTAATGACAACATGGATGGATCTAGAGGATATCATGCTAAGTGAAATAAATTAGACAGAAAAAGACAAATACCATATGATTTCCATATATGTGGAATCTAAAAAACAGCAATTGTGCTTAAATTGAAAACCAGATAGATTTTTTGTTGAATTTCATGTAAAATTTTTTGAAAATCTTGACATAAAATACTATATCCTGTAATAGAAATATGTGTTTCCTTTCATAATGAAGAGAGGATGGCTGTGTTCCTATCCCAGCTCAAGGTGCCAGCAGCCATGTTGGCCGCTCAAGCTCACGGAAGGCCTGGTCCACCAGGAAAGGATGGGTTACCTGGGCCACCAGGAGACCCTGGACCTCAAGGTAAGTCTTCAAGTATGGTACCTGCTTACCAGTTTTTTAACACTAGTTAGAATGTGCTAATCACAGTTCAGGCAAAATACATTTATATGTATATACTATGTATATATTTATATGTATGCAAATGTACATGTATATAAAAATGATTTAATGTAGAATATCTTGTAAATATTTGACAGTGTTGAAGTGGATATTTAACTATTACTACTTCAAATTGAAAACTAATAATTACCTGCTAATCTAAATGTATTTTAATAATATTTGTTAAAACAGCAGGAATATGTGCTTATATATCATTATCTAGGAGTCTCAGAGTTGTTTATGCTTCCCTATTGATCTAAGTTAGACAATAAGAATCATCCTAGTATCTTAAATAAACTGAAGAAAGCGGGTTGAGATACTACTGTTAGTAGTGATTTATGTCCAAAATAAATATTTCAGAAAGTTTAGAATCTTTCTGCTTCTAATAGATCTTGAGGATGGTAACTTTTGAATTTAAAGAATTCCTCACTTTGAAGACAAAACTTAAATTTTGTTCCATTGATCAAATGACAACTTAAGAGAAGACATGCTTCTGAATATAGCTTGACTATGTTAAGCTGTCAAGGCCATTTCCTAGAGATGGTTAGCAGTCAGCAGAGAGGTTAAATAGACCCTGATTTAGAAGATTCACAACTCTAACAAGGAAATATTAGCTCCAATGAGTATATACCATGAAAGCTAAGACCAGGGAGACTGCTCTTCATGTGTTATACAGGTGCTTCAGGGTCCTCCCTGAAATAATTGACAGCTTGTATAAAGGAGAAAGAAAGTTAACCCCAAAACTACACAGGTGCCCTCCCTCCTCTGAAAGGGCAGCAGCTACCCCCAATCACAGGGTCTGTTGGAACTAACTGACACTCACAACTGGTTTAGGTAGCACAGTGCAAAACATGGTAAAAACTCTAGTTCACCTAAACAGTATGTTCTCTGTGCCTTAGATCATAGAAAGGTTTGACAGATAGTTGGAAGAAAAAGTATAAAATCAGGCTTAGCCTTCTGTGTGTTCACTGTTGTGCAGAGGGTGGTTAATTATAATCTTTTGCTAGTTGGGTCTGTCCTGAAGTCAGAGAATGTGACATTGGAGCAAAGAGCTGCTAAGCCCACCTGGAGACACTTGATGACTCAGACCTCGTGAGGAATAAGGACCGTTAGCACCAGTAGGAGAAAAACTGGACAGATGCCTCAAACAGCCGTGGTCTAAAACAATAAGTAACAATGGGAAAACCTGGATTTTCAATGAAAATAGTTCTGGAACTGGAGTCACCCGTCCATGCAAACACCTGTCTCCTGGAGGCAATGCTAAGTCAACAGTGTTAGTGAAACTTCTGGAAACAAGACTTCCACTCACCACTCCGTGTACCTTCCCTTTTGTGAAGGATTCCCATGGGTTTTATCTGCTATTTTGCCTAGGAAATCTTCTGTACCACTTATGCTCCGAATAGAGCTTTTGGATGAATTCTTGAATTTAAAAGAATTCCCCATAAGATTTCCAAATTTTTGTAAAGTCAGGGTTTAGTAAAATCGAGAAAACTTTTGTCCCACTGTAGAGTTTCTGACAACAGACATGTCTTGACTACAGCTCAGGTGTCTCTGCAGCTTTTGCATGACAGCTCCTTTCCAGCTTTTGTTGCATTTTCACAATTGCAGCAGAAAAATGAAACTGGCAGAAAGTGGGATCCGTTTATAAGGACTATTTGCCTGTAGGACAATATTTTTTTCTGCTGCCATTACGGCAAATTTAACGAATACTGAATACTGAAAAGCATTTGGCATGCAGCCTTTTAGACAAATCTTCCTGCAGCTTTGCAGCCACAGACCAATCTTACTGAAAAAAAAAAAGAGAACAAGGGGCTGCTGTTTGGTTTTTGGTGCCTCTCCAGTTCACCAGGACCTGAAGCGTTTCTTTCCTTCGGTAGATGAATAGATACCACGTGCTCAGAAGGTGAAGTTACACGTGTAACTTCAAAGCTTTGCTCTGCTCGATTTAAAGGTTTTCTCAAGAAGAAACAAACTGCCTCTGAAACCGTTACCGTAGGGACCACACGAAGCTCGATGCTGCTGGCTGAACTGGTGGTCTTCACGACACAGCATGGCTGCATTTGAGAAACGGTTGCAGGAGAAACTCACACCGAAAGGGACATGTGGGCGCGGAGCTCCTGGCATTTCCCGCCCACCCCCAAATTCTGTTTGATGGTGGCTCTCCTGAAAATTCTGGAGGAGACTTTTTGTCAGTATTTTTCAGGAAAGAAATCCATTTTCATTCCAAAGGAAGTGGCTTGGTTTGGAATATGCACTTTGAGATGAGTCCTCTCCTACCATCTTTAGAGAAGCTCAGAAATGTAAAGGGGTCCCCTAAGGTCCTGCGCTTATTCCGGGAAGCAGGAAACAGTGAGGGCCGTGAGATGCTGACGTGAGGCTGTTAGAAGTGCAGAATCCAAGGTGAAAGGGGAAGCACTGCTCCCACCAAGATCCCAGTACGGAAAAGCAGCCCCCCTGTCGGAGCTCTGACCTTCTTGCACTGAGAAGTGGGGCCATTATCATTCTGAGTTGCTTCACCTCGTTGGCATTTTTCCTGAAGTCCCAAGGAGGGTGATTGTTAACTTCTTTTTTAAATTCAGAAGCATTTCCAGATAGTTTTATATTTTAACCATCCATGGGTTTCTGATTATTGCAGCCCTCCAGGTTCTGGGAGGATTTCCCCTGGAGTCCGGCCCCGCCTGGGTCTGCAGCTTAGGGCCTGGGGGCTGGGGCTGCTGGGACTGAACAGGAAGGGGCCACCTTAGGATCGAAGAAGCCCCGAGAAGCTGGGCCGGCTGCCTTCCTGTGTGTACACAAGAGAGACTGAATCTTCCTAACTGACTGTATTCTCGTGGGCGAGTTCTGTGAGGAAGAGCTTTATGCTTTTTCCAAACACAGCTGGTTCTCCGCCTCTGGGAAACCCTGGCACAGGTGCCACCCTCGGAAGCCCTGTCCATTCAGAAGGGCCCCCACACTGAGTGCAGTGGGGGGGAGTGGGAGAAAACAGGTCCAGCCATTCCGGGCCCTCCATCAGTTTTGAAAGGACACCATTGGGAATGGTCATTCTTACTTTTGAACTTAAAGTTTAGCTGTTACCACCTTATAATGAAGGAAATCTGACTTGTACCCAGTGGCATAGTGCAGTTCATGTGATACAGGTTTGACCTTTGAAATTTGTTAGCAGAAGTGGTCTTTGGAAATGAGAGGACACTGTGGGCAGTCAGTGGGCAGCACCAGTGAGGCTGGCAGCCCAGAGGGCAGCCCACAGGCCCTACATGGAGGTCCTCCTAAAATGCCAGAAACCCTTTTTCCTTGTCCGGGGTGCATATAGGTGCCCAGATTTATACCTTTAGAAGTAAATCCCTAGAGTTGACACACAAGTCACCATACTGGAAATGCATAAAGTCTACCCCCTGAAGAGCTGCAACACACACCAAGTTTCTCCAGTGACTCTGACCTCTGGTTATGCTTTAAAAGAGGACACCACTGTTGTTTGCAGTCTTCCAACCTAAACTACGGGGATTGTCAAACTGCCATCCTGCATGCTTATAGGCCATGAAAATACACATCTGTTTGCAGACAGCCCAGCCCCTTAGTCTTTTCCAAATTTCAAGAGAGGCCTGCCCCAAAAGAGTGAAGAGTGTAATTCTAGGAAATGGGAAAGCTGTTACTGACTTCATTAGCATTCCAACCTAAAGTTTTGTTATGAAGCAATTATAAAATACGACGCTTTAGCTTTATGGCAGCCTTCGTAAGGAACAAGCTTGAGACCTCATTAGGAAATTTAAGAATAGGAATCTCTTGTGCTTGTACTACCCAATGGCTGTGTCTATTAATAAGTTAGTTATTAACCTAAAGAACTGAGAGATTTGTACAAATAAGTTACATTTAATAGAAGTGTAAATGTTACCCTATAATACAAATATACAAATTATTGTTCTGTGATATATGCACAGAAATTTGTAGGGAATAACGTATTGTTATGTTCTATGAAATTCTGAGAACTGAACTTAAATATGAAGGTTTTAGCAGATACGTTTTTCATTTAGAACGTGTGTTAGTCTTGTCAATCCTCTTGACAATCAGAAGTTCATGTATCTTTAGTTATTTTTTCTTTCTTCCTCATTTTTTCAGCCTGTGACCTTAAGCACTTCCTGAGATAGCTTGAGGGTCAGATTGACAATCTTTCTGTAATAGTGGGACCTGGGTTGAACTATCAACTATACCTCATGTGACAAATGGTATTTTATTTCAGAAATGTTTAAATAATGGGTTTGAAAGGGAGCTTTCACATTACCCTAAGTACAGACATTTTTCTTTGTTGTTCACATACATTAAGGGAAAGTCACTTACATAAAAGAAATCCCAATAATATTTTAAATTTGAATATTTCAGCAGGATATTGTGCCCCGTATTCAAGTCACTGTCATCTCTAGGATCTAGGATCGTATAGAATGTTTGTAACATAATTTTCAGAAATAATGTGTGAAGATTTCTCCCTGGATATATTTCTAACATGAACCTCAAAGTATTTCCTGAATGTACATCTCTCTTTTCCTCTGTGCTCACATTCACGGTCAGGTCACACCTCCAGAGCCAAGAAATAATAGCATCGTGGTTACACAGCTAATGCCATTGGGATGTGAAGTGTGCACTGTATGGTCAGGTCACAGCTGAGAATGGTAGCAGCAAAGCTGACGTCTGATTCTCAACAATGATGGGAAAGACTTTGTCCTATCTACTATTTATAGAGGACATTAAAATTTCTCCTCCTATCATATTCTGCTGCATTAACACGCCTTTATAGAAAAGCACAGCTAAGTCAGAGCCTGTTCCCCGCTGAGGTGTTCCCCTGGTTGTTAGTCTTGCTGTGTGTCTGCATGATTCTGCATGGCTGCTCTGTTCACTGGGGACTAGAAGAAGTCTTTAAACTGCTGTTTAAGTATGAAAAAGTTGGAAATTAAAAGTCTTATTTACCATTATTTCTATAGCCATAGAGCCTTTTCTTCAAACAAAGTCTTATATAGATGCCAGTATATAAAATACAGATAAAAGGTGTGTTATGCTTGTTTAAAGCAGGGATAAGCACTCCTGGAGGCACAAATTACTCTGTATTATTCTAACTCAGGAGACAACAAACATATTCAAGAATAAGAATAATTTTATCTTAAAATGTACATCCTAGAACTCATTCATTTTGGGTGAAGCATCTTGAACTGAGCAAGCGAGTTGAGGTGCATCCCTCGGTCTTGCTTCCGAGAGTGGATGAAGCTCCTGGTCGTTTGGAGTGAGGAACTCTCATATTAAACCACAGGGCAGCTGCCTTCACTTTCCTTGGGAAGGCTGTGACATTTTTCTAACCAGTCATTTGAACAAAGACCTGATTTGTCCCCTCCTGACTCCTGAGATGGGAGAGTCACATACATTAACACTCTCACTGTCGTGTCTGAGAACCACGAGTGTGTGTTCACTCCCTTCGCTCCTGGAGGAGGGTCCAGATTCTTGCTGCTTTACCGTCACGTCCTCGTATCACGCAGAGCCCCTCCTGCACACTTCTCACGTTAGCCTGTGCCCGTGCTCCAGCCACAGGTCCTGCTGAAGAGGGCACACACATCTTGTTGTATCTGTTTGAAAGAAGGTATGAATGGCTGATTTCAGTGACTTAGGTATCATTTTCAGTGCCAAAAGCCTCACTACCAAGAGTTTGACTAGTTGGAACTTTTATGGTAGTTGCATATTTCCAAGATCCTTCCTGCCTATTGCATTTGATCTGCTTGATATGTAAGTTTAATATGTGGCTAATGCAAAACAGAAACGGAGTATACTATGTACAGCAAGTGACGGGATTACGTAAATGTCATAGTAAGCACAGGGTTCTTGAACGAGCTGTGTTCCCATCAAACACTCTTACTTTTTGTGTCTCTCTTTGTGTGTGTCCCTTACTTAGGCTACCGAGGACAGAAAGGAGAAAGAGGAGAACCTGGGATTGGGCTTCCAGGGAGTCCGGGGCTGCCTGGGCCTCCAGGTAATAGTGAGAGCATTCCCACAACACAAATAAGCCTCCAAAACTAGCAACCATGCCTTTCCCCCGAGGCCCTCGTGTGTCACTCTGGGAGAAGGTGAATGACCCATGCTGGCCGGTGTGAGGGAAGCAGAGCCATCTCTGATCTGCATGCTGATGGGTCTTTTTTCTCATTAGCTCCGGGCATGCCAGGCTCACCAGGTGCTGCAGGCCCGCAGGGCCCCCCAGGACCTAGTGGGCGATGTGACCCAGAAGATTGCCTCTATCCTATGTCTCGTGCCCGTCAGCGGACAGGTGGGAAATAAACACCCCTGAAGAAGACAATTGGTGGTGACATGCCCTTGGCATTGGAACAATCTTAATACTGTCAAACCCTCATGATATGGGGGTGACTTTTCATTTATTTTTTATTTTTTGGCATAAGCCAGATGTTAAAAGCAAAAGTTAGAATCCTATTCCTATAGTAAATGTGATATCAGCATTTTTAGACTTTTCCCAAATTCATTCCATATATTTTGCTACACCATCACTATGATTTTTATTCAGTTTTCTATGAAATTTGCAAGCATATCTTATCTTAGTTCTTCAAGAGGAAATTACATCTTATGATTCAGTAGACTGATGGCGATGGACATTTTCTAGTCTTATCAGCTCGTATTTGACCTTTGATTTCTGAATTTTAACATTTCAGACTTACTTTAATGTTTTCTTGGTGTTTAAATTACTATCATTGCCAAAAATTTCACCAACATTTTTGCTACAGTGCATTGCACCTGCTGAATGGTTTTGGACAACTTGTTATAGCTGAAGAGTTCTCGTACCATCCTACAGCCGTCCTACTTAGGCAGAGAAATAGATGGGCGAGACGAGCTTGACCTCAGAACTTAAATTTTGGAAAAAACCTAGGAGGCTGTCTTATCACGGAGCCCGAAACCCACGGTAGCCAACTACCGAGATGATTTTGTTAATTCTGTGTAAAAGTCCGATTCAAACCGATGCCCCCAGGTGGGAATGAGGACTGCATGCAAAGGTCAGAGCAGCATCCAGGCCTGTCAAAGCTCCACAAGAAACACCCAGCCCTGTCTGTGCTCCTTTCACTGCATCTCTCACTGGGAGACAGAAAGCTGGTGTTCCTCAGAGGCATCTGGGGAAGGCCTTCACCTTCCAGGTGAAGGCACCAAGCCATCTTTGGTACTTTTGAGGCTTAAATGGCCTGCAAGAACTTTGGAGCCCCATACCCAGCAGCCTTCCGACCTCCTTGCTCTCAGCCTTGAAGACAAGAACCCACCAATCAATGGGTTTTGTAGCAACTGGAAAAGAAACCCCCTTGCCTAGAAGATGAACGTGCAGCTTTGACAGGTGCCCATCACCAAGGCCAAGTCCGAAAGCTCTAATGGAGAATTGTGTTTCCCCAGAAGCAGCAGCAGGAGCTACAGGGCAGCAGAGGGAAGCCGTGGGGCCGAACATGCAACAAGCACGCAGACCAAAGAGTTAACATGAGAAAGAGCGCTGCAAAGACCATGTCCTCTGGCAGGCAATGAAATACAGTGATCCTCAAACAAATTACTAAAAGGTGTTTTTATTGCCTAGCTATACCTGATTTTAAGAAAACTCCTGGTTGAAAACAACTGATGTTCTAGAACACTGGACTTGAGGATGTGGCTGAAATCAAAGTAGTGAATCCCACAGGTGCTGAGAGGGGGCCTCCTTGCGACTTCCTGGCACAGAAATCAGGAGCCGCGCAGGTTGCAACCTGGCTGAAACAGGTTAGGATGATAGCTTTTATCTGTTAATTGAAAAATGAGTTTAGAAAAGCATGCCCAACTGCCACTGGAAAAAACCGAGAAGGGAATTGTGTAGGCAGCGTGCCTAAGTGACGGCAGCTTTGTTCACATGCACCCATGATTTGAACCGGTTTTCATTATAGATAAATGCACTGCTGGTCAGGTACTGTCTACATGGCTGCACGTAACATGCAGCCTTGTAGTTATTTCATATTGAATTATGCTGCATGTTTCAATTCCAAGTTTATTTTATTTTCCAAGGTTCTTTTATTTATTTCAAGTGTTGTTAACTTTAAAGTGATTTTCTTCACTCTTTCCTGTGCAATACCTACAATGGTGCTGGGTTTTAGACTTACACAATTGGAATATATATATATGAATTTTCTTAGCCAAATGATAATTTATCCCCCAAACACTGTACAGAGATCTAAAATCTGGTGCTATGTGTATATCTTGATCTTTTAATATGTTGAACTTTTTTGAATTTTTTGAAGTCTTACAATTCATCTGCCACTCATTAACTTACTTGAATTTGTCATAAAGTGAACTATTTTGTTTTTAAAGATTATTTTTTCATATTAATTAATAGGTTTATCCTCTTGCCTTTTTGATAATCCAGAAGTATTTATTTTATCATTTTAATGTCTTCATGAACTTTTTTGCCAGTGGTGATCAATGTATTCTTGGTTTCCTTTGAGTCAATCCTCTCATACACATAAAAAGACTCAATTTTCTTGTTTTATAAATTCTGTTCATTTTAGTTCCACAGAATATGTCATGCATCCTTCCTTACAAATTGTATATTTAGGAACCCTTCTTTTTCTAAGTTCCATTAATGTTGGACTGGTTTATTCCTGTTTCAAGAATTTGGATTTATTCAGGTGATTTCAGAAGGGGAGGAATATAATGCATATTGCAGTGATTCAAGCTCATTTTTTTATAACTGGAACACATGACTAAGTCTACCTTTGGCATAACTAGAGAAACAGGCCTGTGTCCGCCTGGAATGAGGCTCTCTCACCTGCTGGATTATTCCCCTTGCAATGCTCCTTGCCCCATCTCTGTACATGGGATGTGCAACAAAGAGCAGCCAGAAAGCTGGGCCCAGCTAATGCTACACCAGGTAAAGGGAAGACTTCACAGCAGCCTAATTCCTTGAACAAAAAGGGAGTGGATACGGCCCCAAAGTAGGGTGAGAAATTTTTCCCTGAGCACCTTGCTTGCCGACTCTCTCGTATCATTTTATTCCATTCCAAGCCACTGTTTACTTTCACACCAATGTCAGTCATGCCCACAGCAGGGAAGAATAATTATCAAATTTCCTGAATTATCTCTTGTTTAGACTCCAGACCACGAAAGTGTTTAAATTGCAAAATAATTGCAGGCCATGCTGACAATTAATAATGAAAAGTGTGTTTGCCCTATGTAAGTATGTTTGAATTCCAGTCTAACATTTTCTACCAATATCAATTAACACTTTCAGATAGAAGTGTTTCTATGCAAAGAACAAGATGTGACTTCAATTAATAGTTATGGTTTTAGGGATCTGAAGGAAAAAGGAAGAATTATTTGTGAGTTTGTTCATTGTTCTTTCCTACTGAAGATGTTAACCTTTTTTCCTAACTATTTCAGAAACACAGCCAGTCTTAATGATGAGTTTTTCACCTTGTGGCCAAAGTGATTTAGTTAATGACTCTAAAGTAATCCCTTAACCTCATTTCTATTCTTCTTGACATTGTTGAAATTTAAAAATTTTAGTCACTTATATTTAGAGCTTAAATAACTTTCTAAGGTACTGTAAAATATGTTATCTGTTGAAGATACCATATGATGCTTGGATTGTAAAATATTTTGTTGTGACTGTGTTTTAGGATTTAGGTAGGTTTTGGCTTCCCTGCAGCCGTTCTCACGTTGAGAACCCGATATACCTCCTTTTGTCCACGGGATGGCGCTTAAAGCCAGCTGATCAAAATAACAGATTTGCCGAGATGTGAGGCTAGAGACAATTTAGTGGACAATAATTAAATCAGACCTTTGCCTTTGCACTTTTTTTTATTTTTTACTTTGGTAAATACTTTCTTGTTAAGTCATGTTATATTCATTTGTTTTGTTAATTTGTTTTTCCTCATTTTAAGTATCTTTATGAAGCAGTTACAATAACCATTAACTCATTGGCTGTTTCAGTTTTATTTCTTCAGTGAATTCAGATACTTAATTGACTTGCAAGCTTACTATTTGTAACTTTAGTTTGTATATGACCCTCATAGTTTAGTGATTAACTTGAAAACACCTAAATAATCACTCGACCTTTTAGACAAGATACTCTATTGACAGTAAGAAGGATCTAGCTTGTCCCAAGAAGCAGGCTATTTATAAAATTATGCAATGTCTAAATCTCCATATTGTTCAAAGCACTTAAAGTTTTACAATTAGATTTGTATAATGTTCCTATTTTTCTAGAAATATATCACTATGTACAAAAATTAGATAAGGAACACCTTTTTTCAAAATGCTATTTTAATTTTCCTGACATTGGTAACAATATCCTGAGACAGAATTTTTAGAATAAGTTACATGCTAAATTTTTCTGAGTGATTTCTCAAGACAGTTTTGTAAATTTGTTCATTGATCTTGTTCTTACATTATTTTTCACATTTGTGCTCATCTACTTAAGACGCACAGGTACATATTGCCATGTCTCCCGAGGCCCGTTTCTATAGAGAATGTGCCCGCCTTTCATACCCTTTCCTCTCACAGAGATGACACAGGCTTCTAGGAAGGGCAGGAGGTGCCGAAAAGAACTGAATCTGTATCTTTTCCCCTGGGCTCGTCAAAGTGACTTAGCCCATCGAACTGTATTCGTGTATTAGCTGTCTGCTAAGGCAGCATGGGTAACATAAAATTTGCTTAACCACTAAGAGCCTCAGGAAACAAGATATATGGACGTCTTCTGTTTTGTTGTGTGGCATAGCTAGAGCTATAACCCACATTTTACTCAACAAAATCATGCCAGGCTAACCAGTAAGTTCAGCTAAATGGAATGAAGAGCCAAGGCGAACACAGAGGAAACGCACCAGACAAGCAGACCCAGAGCAGCGAAAATGTACCTCAACAGTAAGGCAGCCTTATAAAACCAAAACTAAGTTTAAGAAAGTCTAACTGGAAAAAAATGTCATGTTCAGGTCCAATGAAGAGTGATCTCATGGAGTCAGCTACTTGCTTCATGAATTTGTCAGAAGTGAATATGAATAAAGAAGGAGACTTCACTCAACTTAGCGGGTAACTTAGTAAAATTTACCAGAAGGGTGTGTGTTGCTTGACTGTAATAAGCTTATGGGTGTAAAGATGCTAATTAATTTGCAACAATTTATAATATTTGCAATTTACAAATTCTGCTGTATTATGTATAGTATATTTTAGGGATAAACATTTTTCAGTGTCTTAACGTACTTAAATTCAGATTGTTTTATGGCATATTTTGTAACTATTTATTTTTAAAATAACCTTGAGGATGTATTTTCCCTCATTTTGTTTGTTCTCTCTTACCTCATCACACTGATTTAAGATTTAATTCAAGATACTCATGTTAAGTGGAGTGGCACTAGTTTTATTCCAAGTCCCATGTGGATATAATGCTTTTTGAGGCCTTGGTTCCTAAATGTTCATGATACATAATGAGCTTGTCACTTATCTCAGCAGTAAAAGATCTGACCCTGGATCAGGGTATTCCGAGGTGCAGTTATTAACACCATACCTACTGTTCACCACTTCTTGTGGCTGGAGTTCCACACTTAGCTACGTTCTAGTAGGGCTCAGCCACAGAGATGCTCCAAGGGCAGTCACAGGCCGGGCGTGGGTCACCAGATGTCCAAGGAACCCGGAACTTGGTCTCTTACAGAGTTCATGTTTGTACCATGCTGGTAATTATACTTTCGTTTGTCCCGTGGATCAGTGCTTAGCCCATAATAATTAAATTTACATCCCATCTCCCTGGCAGCTCATAATAAGCCTTGTCTCATGATTTCAGGTAGAATTATAAGTAGGCTGTACTCTGTGACTTTTGTCCCACAGAATGATCTCACTAAAATCATTGGAGACTCATTGGGGTAGAAAGGCCTGTACAAGATGAAGAAATAATCACAATTCACTTGTCTCATAAATATAAGCTCTTAAATCACAAGTGATAAGACCATAGGCAGTAAGTTAAATAGATAGCATGTTTCCTTAACAGAAATTCATTACATCAAAACATGCTGGCAGATTTATATGGTCGCTTACACTGGGAAGGGATTAACACAGTTTGTAACTATTTTCAATTTCAGGTCCCTTTTTGATATGGCGAATTACCCAAGTGTTCTCTAAGGAATATTTTTAGGTCTTTTGCCACACAGATTTTTCAACTTGGAGGCCAAAGCCAAATTCAAATAAATCTTAGAAAGTTCATTTCTTAGAGCCAGTCATTTGACCTCTCTCTAGTTACTTTTAAAAAACTTGAAGTCAAGAGCAAGATGTGAAGGTACGTTAAGGAGAAAGTTAGTATAGATTACCATTTACTAGGACTAAAAATAGTCAGCATCCTCTTTCTGATGACCAGATGGAGCAGACATGTCACACTCCTTCTGGTCAATCGTTGAAGAGCAGTTGAGCTTGTGCATGTTCAGTCCTGCCTTTAGTTGAACCAATTTTGATGTAGTGGTTGCTGAGCTGTGTGCCCTTAGTACTGCCATGTCCTTATCACAAACTCACTAAAGAAGACTAAGTGCACAACTGAAAAGTATTTATTCTATTCTGTGAAAGACTTGCCTTATATTTATTGAACACAAATATTATTTTTTAATATATATATATTTAAAATCACTTCACGTCCTGTGCAAAATTTGTAATCAGCAGAACTGCTTGTTTGCTAGTATTTTTTTTTTTGTCAGCAGGACTACTCAGAGATGTTTAAAAGTAATTTTCCTGATAATTGGTATGATTTTTATATACTTCTAGTGCTCCTCCCCCTATACTGGCTTATTCTTAAACTCAGAGGTATTTTACATCGGAGACATTGTAATAGCCAAAATATTAAATAATACAATCAGAGATGATCTTCTAAAGCAGGGATTTACATGAAGCTTACTTCCATGTGCAAATACATCAGATTTTACTCATGACGTTTAAGAATAGCAGCACTTGTGTGCGAGCTTGAACTTTCAAGTGCCCCTAAAACCCCGAATCAATCCCACAACGGCTCTGACTACTCATTCATACTCCTCTCCTGACGGGCGCCACTGCGCCCAAGCCATGCCAGTGAGTGTGCTCAGTCAGACTGGGAGGTGATTGCCATAGTTCTTAACCAAGCTGTCAGAGATTTGGGATGAAAATCATGTCATAAGGCCATAGAAGCACTGACTAGAAATAAGTCAGAAATCACTGGCCCTTGCATGACATGCCTGTGTCTGACCAATTTTAATTACTCACCTGTTCATCTCTCAGCGAGGGCTCTGGGTGACATTCCACCCAACTTTTAAAAATATCTCAAGGAGGTTTTGGAGATTTCCATTTCACTCGAGAGAGAGATTGAGTCTAATTCAATATGTATCAACCTTGATACATATTCAGTTATCAGCTCTGATACATTTTTGCTGGACGCTTTTCTTTGCAGTTTCTAAGTCAGGCGTTTTCTGCTTCTGGAAACGATTTCACTTAACGGAGTTCTTAATGGATCGTTCCCACCTTTTGGAATGTGCTTGTTTGGCATCATCTATTTGTAAGTGGTTGTTTCCACTATTGCTTATGGTATCCGTGGAGCTTGTACAGCTTTTTATATATCAAGTTTGTAAAACAGTTGAATGAGCTGTTCTTTAAAAAAATTTTTTTAATTTTCTTATGAATGCAATATTGTATAACTAAGAAACATGTTTATTTGGTTATCTAATTTTTCCTTTGTTGTATTTGATTATGTCACTCCCCGTTAAAGTAAAACCACCTTGGTGAAACAACAAGGCAATTTCTTTGCATTTATTTGAGTAAGTGTCACAGTACCTGAGAAGGTTTGCATTTATATAAAGACCATTTTAAGTAGTTGTAGCAGGTATCTCTGTTTCTGAAAATTACTGATTCCACAAGAAGGAAGGGCATTCTTCTCAGGGTGTGTAAATGGCACCGATCTACATAACCAAGTTAGAATCATTCTCTTTAGGCACACTCCATGCTAGAAGCACAGAATTAGATGCTGTAACAATTTTAAAGAAATCCAAATACAGATTACATGATTATTGATGTAGCTAAACATACAGGGCTTAAAGTTTTAAATGTACAGAAAGTACACAAGAAAAAATTTATACCAAAATCCTATTAAGTAAGGCTCACTCCCCCTTGATTTGAGTGAACTGAGTTCCATAAATTAATAGAAGATATTGACTATTTTGAACAATGTGCTATCCCCAGGCAAAGTCACTCATATCACTGTGACATGAAATGCATATATTGTCTGATCAATAGTTTATACTGATGTTGATTAAACAGCAACCAATGTTACTACGTGCATAGTAGTTAAGAGCTTGAGCAGTCAGGCAATACCCATCTTATTGGTAAAAATGCAGTGTTTTAACTGAGCTGACTGTATAAAATGTTTTAAAAAATGGAGAAACAGAAATCATTTTTGCAGCAATGAAGTTCTGCATAGCAGGAAGCTAACAGATCACTGAAATGAACGCAGTGAGTGGTTTCTAACCTAGAAACCAAGCAAGGCCAGACTTAGGGGATCCATAGAACCTGTGAAATTCTCTGCAAACATGTTTGTGCATATGCACTTCTGTTTTTCTGGGTTATTAATTTCAAAAAGGTCCAAGAAGCTCCCCAACCCCAGCCCCATATACATACATACATACAACTTCTGTCATACCCTCTGGGGAACAATAAAGGCTTTTTAATTTCTCTATAGAAAAAAAAGACTAATACTATAAACATACCTATAGAAATACCAGTAATTTTAAATTTTTCAACATATCTGAATAATCTCAGTGACTTGTTCCCAATGATCATGATGACTTACAAGAAAACATGCAAGAGATTAAGAAACCATATTTATTTCTTCCTTGGTACAACCAGAGATGTTACCTCAAACCTTTAAAATAAATAATTTTATCAATAAAACTTATGAATGGCAGAATATTAAAATTCCTTCTTTGCTTTCACAGAGCAGAGCTCAAGGTATGAACGGGTTTGGGGTACAGTACAGTCCAACAAAACTTCAGGATGACTGAGAAACCCGGCATGTGATGTAAGGACACCACTCTGGGTGGCACAGAGCTTCCCTGCCACCCCTGGGGTGCACTGCTGGGGATTCTGAAGCACCGATTCTATTGGCTGTAGTGGGGTTTCTTCATTAACTAGTCTGGCAATCCCCTACAATAATCTGAGAACAGCTAAATAAAAAATGAAAATAACTACTGCAACTGCGGTAAACCGAACAGTCGACTTTGTTTATTGGCACAGGGGCCTGTGATGTATCACATTTGTATAGCGCACCAAAGGTCAAGATCCTGGGCCCAGGACTGTCAGTTTATCTAAAGGGAGGGGTTTTTGGTTTTTGTTTTACTGATGATTCTGCTGTCTCCCTCCAAGGGAAAGGAAAGAGGGTTTACTGAATAGCACCATTGTTCTGAGTCTGATTGTCAAGCAGGACTCCGGGTAACGTTGAAGGTGATGCGTTGTCATCTGTTGCCCCAGCGCGGGTGGCGGCTCTGCTCTAGGCTCCTGTGCACGCAGGGCTCATGCAGACTGCGTGCGGTACTAGGCCCGTCACTGGTCGGGGCCTTTGCTGAATGCTCGCTGACCGGCCTGCAGGGTGCAGGAGGCCGGCTCGCAGAAACCAGGAGGGCCGGGAGGTCCTGGGGGGCCGGGTACACCAGGAATTCCTGCCACTCCTGGGGGCCCTCGCTCGCCATCCCGGCCAATCCTCCCGTAGCTGGCGGGGCCTGGGTCACCTGAAACACAGAAAAGATTGCCCATGGGGCAGGAGAACCCTCATGGCTGCAAAGTGGCAGAAGGTACGGGACCCCCAGGCCAGCAGTGTACACAGAGGGGCTTAATAAGTGCTTTCATAAAGATGGATGATGGTGATAAAATCCTTCATTGGGGTTTCTTAGAAATTAAAAGTGAAAAGAGACGTCAACACCTCTAACCCACATTTCCATTGGTAAAACTGAGCCACGGTAGGCTCTAGTCACCTATGTCTACTGAACACCGACAGGCAGCTAAGTCAGAAAGGATGAACCCTATGTACAAAACACATTCTCTGAGGCATGGTGCCCCTTAACAAAGAGGAATTTCTGCTGAACATTTACTCCAGCATGACAGGAATACTTTCTACTATTGCTGCGAAGGAGGCAATAAGAACTCCGTGCAAAATAAATTGTATGTGCCATGATGCACAGTTTCACAGAGACCCCCATTCCATTTCAGCCACTGTAACTTGGCCATTCAGCCAAAGGGTACAAGCCCGATGGGCGTGTTCAATTAAATATTTGCTTAGGTTCAGTGACTTTCCTTCTTTCTCGTGGTTTTTTAGTTTCCTATTTTAGTGTCTCACTATATGTTTTTTGTCGGTCTTGTTATCATGGTCTGGTCTTACGTGGTCTTATTACAATATGTCTCACCAACTTTTAGAAGGAAGGTTAGGGAGCCTCTTTTACATGTAATATCTTCCCATTATGTTTACAATGAGATCCACACAAAGCAATGTTATAGGACAGAACATCACTAAGTTCTCAAAGAATAATCTCTGGCTCGATCCATCTCAAGGATGTAGCAAAGCAGAGATGTTATGTCCCCTCATTCATCCCACCAGCTTTCACTTGACTGTATTAAGTTGTGATGAAGCAGGTGGCGGTGTTTTCCTCTACAGGCCCCAGCGGAGGTCTTCCTGATCCCACAGCTCCTATAAAGGAGGCCTTACAGCAGAGCCTATGCAGATGGCTTGTCTCTACGGGCAGTTAAAAGTCGATCTTTTAACGGCCAAATGTAAATGTATGCAAGAGGTAATTTTCATGCAGTACTCTCACTGAGACATACCAGGTCTGCCTTAACAAAATCGAATCAAGATGAGGAGGAGAAAATACCCAAGGGGGAAGTCACACACCCAGTGCGGGCAGGGCAGGCGACGATGCAGGTCAGGGCGGGCAGACTGTAGCCCAAGAGCAACTGCTGTTTTTGTGAACAGTCTTATTAGAACAGAGCCATGGTCATTTGTGTGTATATGGCTTATGGCTGTGTTTGCACCACAAGGGCAGAGTTGAGGAGTGGCCACGGAGACCTCTTGGCCCTCAGAGCCAAAAAAGTTGATTCTTTACAAAAAAAGTTGATGAAGTAAAGAAATGGCTCTGGATTAAGAAATTCCCTACTGTCTTTACAAGAAGACTGTTAGCACAAATGTAATGAAAACCAGTGGCTGGTACTCCACATGTTGTCAGGGAGACAACAGGGAGGGCTGAGGCCTGCGGTGAACTGGACATGGACGCTGGCAGCGGCTCTGCTCCAGCCAGCAGTGTCCATGAGGGGGATGGACCAGCGGCCGGACCTGCTGACAGCTCATGAGAAGCTGGGGAGCTGAGTGTCTAAATATCTCTCAAGTTATATCAGCCACTAATTCAAATTTCTAATATTTGTAGAGCCCGCCTCCTGCCTAAAACCTTAAGTTTAAGGAAATTTATTCACAAATATGTAAACAATTACTAGAAAGCAGAAGGGAAGCTTTTTAGAGTTACATGTTTAGTTCCCCATTTCAACACTTTCCAAGAGAGATTTTCTTCACCTGCTGCATTTATTCCAGATTCCTGCTCCTCCTCTGGGGAAGGGCGACCTGTCTACCCTTCATCTCTGTTACGTCAGGCACAGCCGGTCCAGTTCCCCCTCTGGAGTACAGCGGGAGCTCTGGACCGTGGCATCCTCATCACAAAACGCTTCCGCTTCGCTGTGCACCGCTCGCTGCTCACTACCAACCAACCATTTTCCTCATAAGAAAACTGAGAAATTGGAATGTTAAATAATCATCTACAGTCACATAGCTGGAAAGCACTGGCATTAGAAACAAGGGGCCTTAATCACTACTGTCACCTCGCTGTGTGTCCATGCCCATTGATTGGACCTCTGCCAAGAGGTGTCTGTGCATGTGTGTGCGTGGTGGTGTTTGGGGGCCTGAACTGACCAGGAAGCAAAATGAGGCACAATAGCCAAGAGTAAGTATATCGATTTTTCTAGTGCTCTAACCATCGGGGTTATAGCTATAGTTACAGCTGTACTGCTAGGAAATACTAAGATATTGCCCTATAGAAATGGCCAGGGAAAAAGCTTGTCCTCCCCTAACATGTCATCAGCTTCTAGCGAACCGTCACGTTGGGAGCTTAGAGGTGTTATAAAATGACTGGGTGGGAGCCCAATTTTGGGGGTAACACGACGTCACAGTCCAAGTCACTCAAGAAGTCCCGCAGCTACATTAGTGAGCGTCTATAAACTACTTTACAATTCTAAGGAGCAGGAAGCAGGCACCTGAAGTGGCCTCATCCTGCTTTGTCTGCCCCGTGGGTCTGTTAGCCACACTAACTGCCTTATGACGACACAGTTTCCGGAAATTTCTAGGGCTTACCTATGAAAATGTTATTACCAACCATTTCATGATTTTTAAAAATGAATGTCCGCCGTTCTGTGTGAACACTAGAGGGCACTCGTGTTTCACTGATGGAAGACGACCCGCCGGGCCGGTCTACAGGCTGTAACGCGCGCGGCAGGCGGAAAGGGGCTGCAAATAGGCTTCAAAGGAGCAAAACCACAGACACCAGAAAACCTGCAGAGGGTATCGGGAGCCCAACTCACGGGTTATATACAATTGCTGTACGTGCCAGGGTGTGGGTAAAGTGAAGGTTCATTAGGTCAGTATCCTCACCTGGCCGTGGTGGGCTTGCTCACCGCACGTGTGGGCAATACGCCGCTACTGACCATCCGGAGAGCTCCGCCCGGTGCCCCGGGCTGCAGGCCGCAGGCGCGCGGAGGCCGGGGTGGCGGCGGCGCCCGGGGCAGAGACCGGCTCACTGCCTGCAGACTCGCCCCCCAGTGAACGGGATTCTAGTGACTGACCTGCCTCCGTGGGAATAAAACTGGTGTAAACCCTTTCACCCCAAGGACGTTGGTTGTCATTCCTCGGTCCCGCTGAATCCATCGTGAACTTGCCCGGGGCTGAGACCGATTAGCAAGACAGCGGCAGCGTGGGCAGGATTCGCTGCTGACCAAGGAACAGCGGCAGCGTGGGCAGGATTCGCTGCTGACCGAGGAACAGCAGGGCCGCCCTCGTGGGAGGGGTGTCCCCGCGGGCCTCCCCTGCAGACGGAGGCAGCCGAGGACCCCCCGGTGGCGTGTGGCCGACGTGGCTTGCCTCCTGGGGGGCTGGCCCTCCCCACGGCTGGGGAGGGCGGAGGCGACCCCCGAGGAGGTAGGGGGCCCTTGGCATAGTAAGTGGGCCCTTTGGGAAGTGGAGGGGCAGCGCGAGGACGTGGGCGGCGAGGTGCCGTCGAGCAGGTACAGACTTAGCTGGTGACTGACATGGCGTCACTCTGAGGCGCTGTGGGAGTGGTGAAGGATGTCGTGGCGGCCGGAGACGGGGCAGCCCGAGGAGGAGCAGCGGCCCGAGAAGCAGCGGCCCGAGAAGCAGGTGGAGGAGGTCAGGGAGTGTCAGTCCCGGGGATGGGGGAGCGGAGGTCTGACGAGCAGGTGGGCGTGGAGGCCCTGCCAGCAGGAGGCAGCGGCCCCTCCTCGGGGTAGACCCCACCCGGTGAAAGCGGGTGGAGAGCCGGAAAGAAAATAGAGACTGGGCAGCCGCAGGCTCCTCCAGGAGGGGTGCAGGACCCCCCCAGGTCGCGGGGCATCCAGCCTCCGCTCCCATCCCCAGGCTCAAGCGGCGAAGGCACAAAAGGACATCCACGCCCCGTGAAGGTCACGAGGACCCAGATGTGGGCTGATGTGATAAGGGCAGGAGCAGACAGGCAGGAACTGGATGGGAAGTCGGTCTCACAGAATCTCACTGCAGCTGTGGCAACAAGCGAAACCGGAGCAGCGGTTCCGGCCGCTGAGGACGAAGCAGAAGCCGGAGAGAGAGCGACAAGAGCGGCCGTGTGTCTGCAGGACCTTCTGCTGAGAGGCTGGAGAAGGTGGGTGCTGTGAGGCCCACCCGTGGCCCTTTCCGTTAACTCATTTGAGTAGAGCTGGTTTGAATACAGCCAGGATGAACACTCGGTGGCAATGGGTCTCCTCAGGCTGGAAGCTTATTGTAATTTGTCATAATTTTTGTTATTTCATATTGTCATAGCCTCTGTTGTTATTATGCTATTAAGGAATTTGGTTACAATGTTCCAGCTTCCACGCCCAGGGGCCACTGCAGAATATTGAGGGCACACAGATAGGGAGGCGAGAATCCTGGAGGGGTGGGTGTGGATAAAGTGAAGGTTCCAGTGCCCAGGATTCTCACCCAGCCCTGGTCGGCTGGCTCACTACACACATGTGGGCAATATGTTGTTACTGACTCTATATAAAGAGCTCCACCCAGTAGTCTGGGTGACGTGGCATGGCCGCACGGCTGCAGCAGAGCAGAGGCTGGAGTGCTGGCAGCACTGAGGACAGAGACCAAGAGGCTGTGGGGGCAGAGGGGCCCAGAGGCAGAGACCAGCTTGCTGCAAGCAGACTAGCTCTGCGTGGACGGGATTCTAGTGACTGACCTGCCACCGTGAGAATAAAATTGGCTATAAACCCTTTCACCCCAAGAACATTCCATTGTCATTCCTCGGTCTCACTGAGTCCATCGTGAACTTGCCAGGGGCTGAAACCCACTGGCAGGACACAGGGACTCTCTCCTATTTCCCACCTCATGGTGAGCTTACCCTGCGGTGTTTGGCAAAGCCTGTATGATTAAGGAATTGTAAAATGGTTTGTTTATGTAAAATCCCCACAACCAAATAATATAGCTGCAGCAATAGAAATAGGATAAATGACTACTGTTCCACTTAAGCCTGAGTGTGCCCTTTGTTTCGGGAGGGGCGGGGGTCGGGGGAGGGGGACATGTTTCTCACTCAGCATTCCGGAGCTCAGCTCACCTATATGCAAATCTTGCACAGGAAACCTGAACCGCCTAGTCACCTAGGATGGCCCCGCCCAAAGCCAGCTCTGCCCTCCACCTCCAGGAAGGAAGGGCAAAGCATCTCAGCTCACAAGCCATGTTCCTGCTGGTCGAACACAGGAGTCCTTATTTAACTTATTTTCCCCCTTGAGTTTGAATGCACAAGAAGTCAGGACCCATTATCAAATATTTTCCCTTAAAATCCTCAGTGTTTCAAGGAACTGGTCCCAAACGGGCAAGTTCAGGGACAGCGGGCATAGGTAATGAGACCACCCAATTACGCGACACCACGAAATGCTCGGTAAGAAGCGGAAGAGGGGCTGGGTGGGAGCTGAAGTCCCAGGGGTCTCTAATGTGACCCACTCAGCTCTGTGAGAGAGGCGGAAGAGCAGACAAGACTCCGTGCCTACGGAACATGCCGACGTCAGAGGCCAGGGTGCAAAGGTCCAACTGATCACATTAAAAGACTGCCAGCCCATCATTTCATCCTCTCTGTGAACCTGGATGCAGGAGGCATCGCCTCCATCGCTTAAACCTGAGGGCCCTTCAGGCCGTGTGACCTTAGTAGGTCTGCGTTCCCTCAAATATAAAGAGAGAGACGACAAGAATGGTAAGAGCTCAGCTTGCAGAATGCTCCTACGTGCTTCACAGGCATTAGCAGCACCTACATTCCCCTACATAACTCCATGGGCAGGTGTGGTCCCTCCCCCGGATACTCAGAAAGAATGACAAGGGGTGGAGCGGCTGAAGGGGCAGCGCACACACCGGGCAGCCTGGCGCCAGAGCTCACACTTCTTAAACATCTGCTCTGCCCACTTGGAGCCGTGAGAAACAAGATGGATGGTCTGTGTGTACTTTTTAGACAACAGAGCACAACAGCCTGAATGACCATGGATGTAACAGTTCCAATAACCTGTGGTCCTTATTAGGCAAGGTACCATTACACCCCCAAAGGGCCCTGTGACGCTCAACACAGAACAAGCTGAGAGATTGGCAGGGAGAGAGAGAATTAAAACTGTCCAGAGAGAATAATGGAAATCTGATAACTGATAGATAATGAAGGTATTAGTTACAGGTTTTTGAAATAAATTGGCATGCTGGCAGCAAGAAAAATGATCAAATGATTTTTTTTTCCATGCAGGAAGACTTAAGTCCTGAATCCAACAACAGAGACAGCAAAGAGGATCGCAGAATATCCCGTTTTGCAGGTGAGATGTTATTTATCTAGAAGGTTCCAGGCAGGTTCCTGCCCAGAGTCCTACTGAAGGTTCCTGCACATTCTGAAGTCCTGTTGCTATTGTATTTGTGAGAGACCAGAAATTATATTCCTCCTTACGCTCCAAGCTCAGTAGGGACATGAGGCCCAGCCTCTCAGTGGACAAAGAATAAGTGAGCTGGTTTATTTGAAGTGGTTCTGGTGGAAGGAGGTCTGAGGTGTGAGGGCTGCTGCGGACTGAGAGAAGACGGGCATGTCACCGCTGCTGAGAGCGGGAGGCAAGGCTGCAAGGGCCTGACTAGGGTGCAGCTGTGCCCCCAGCTCTCCTCCCCGCTTCAGAAAGCACAGGTGGATTTGTTTTACTAATAATAGTATTCACAGCCAACATTTCTTCAGCACCTACTGTGGCCAGAAACTAAGCCCTTTCGAAACATGGACTGATTTCTCAGACTTACACTAGCAGGGAGATGTAATGATTATCACTCTTTTATAAATGGGAAACTGAGACATAAAGGAATTAAGTAATTTGCTCAGTGCCATAAAGCTTGTAAGTGACAGAGTCAAGATTTGAACCCAGATGTCTGACTTGTGGTGCCCCAAATAGCTCACTTTCCCAGGACTAGCTTTGGGGGAAGAGTGACCCGAACAGCTCTTGTTCAGGGACTGATGGACGCAAGAAATTGCCAGCTGAGCACGTTCGTAGCCTAGGCAGGAGAACGTGGGCCGACCTGGAACCCAAGCACCCAGCTGGTGGTTGAGCAAGCGTGCGCCCCCCTGTGCCTGTGTGCAAACACACTTAGAAAACGGCATGCTTTCAAAAGTTAGCCTAACCTTTAAAAAAATAATCTGAAATTCAGACTTCTCACTACATAATCTCAAATATCCTCTCAACTGAAATAAAAGTGCAGAAAAAGCAAGCCCGGATTTCAGAGTGGTACCAGGAAGGCGGGCAAGGACTGGCAAAAAGCAGGAAGGACAAGGCAAAGGACAGGCTGACGTGCTGAACTACGGAGCTCATCCGGTTTTCAGCAAATCAGATTTAACATTCAATCCAGGGGCAGCTGTAACAAATCTCATGTTTTCCGTAAGGGAGACAGATGAGGGCCAGGCAGAGCTGCCAATGATGTTTGTCTTCCTTACCATTTTGCCCATACGTGGATGTCTGATGAACTAAAAAACAAATTAGCAAAACCCCTTCCGGTGGCCAGCGGCCCAGGAGCACAGATAACAGTCTCCAACCTCCCACCAGGCTCAGTGACTCCCAGGGGGTTGCAACATGCGGGGGAGTACGGCGCCCCCTCGTGGCAGCCAGGGACACTGCCCATACAGAGACAGTCTTCTGCAATCTTCCCATTTTTAAATTTAAGATGTGGTTTACAACAGATTTTTTTTTAAATATAAGACTCACCAGAAATGACAATGTATTTTTGATAAAGGAAAATCTTGCCAATAGTGCAAGCCACTGGTCTAAGAATGGCTAAGTGATTTGTCAACACAATGGAAAGAGAAATTATAAGGCTATCTTATAAATATGTCGATAATTGGGTAAGTTGTAATGATGTTATCAGCTTTAAAACCTCTTATTGCTATCACTGATAAAGGAGAAAATCACTCAGTAAGTTCTATTTCCTTTTTCTCTCTTCTAAATGTCCATCAATGAATTTAGACTCTATCCTTTAAAATCTTCTCTTGGTCCCATTTAGTTCCAACCAGATTTTCTTTCCATTTCTAATCATTCCTTTTCCAATCACAGAAATGTACCAATTTGTGAAAACATCTTGACAGGCCCATGAATCACAGTTTTAGAAAGGCAGTGTTCACGCTATCTCCAAATATATTCATTTTTAAAAAATTTATTATTAAGAAAGCAATCCCCAAGGGCAATGAAATGGATAATTAGAAAGCAATGATGTTCGGGCTGCAATTATAGCCATGATTGAATACGCAGGCCTCTGGCAGAATTAGAAAACAATCATTGCTTTTTCTGAACTTGTCTAAATCAAGTGTCCAGGTTCACCTTTTCTGCTCATCATCTGACCTCATCTCCCCTCAGCCCCGGGGATTTAGGGGACACCCCCCCACACGCTGGAGCCACTGCTTCAAAAGAGATTTTGCTGGGAGGCTGCCCATCACTCAGGCTCTAAAACTGACCTGGCTCTCAGCCCTGTCTCGCTGCTGCTGGGATGAGCCTGTCCGTCATTTCCCAAGAGTGAGTGCATGGCTGCTTAGACTCCGGGGACAGACTAGCTAGTGTGTAAAGAGAGGACAGATGGCCGGTGAGAGAACCCACTCTTCACACAGAGGCTGCTTTGTTGCTCAGCCCGTGCAGCTGTAATATGGGGCTTGTCGCGGCTCTTTGCAGCTATGAGAAGGAATGTTTGGGGTTTTTTCTTTTTCTGTTTTTTTTTTTTGGGTATGGGTTTTTCTAAAGGGTCTGGATGTTTGAACAGGAGCTTTTAAAATAACACTGCAGTTACTCTCTGTGCAACATGAATAATTTGAAAACTTAGATTCATTTTCTTGTTACTCTTCTCAGTCAACACAAAACAGGAAACCATCAACTGAGCTAGATATGGATAGGACCCCCTTCATTCAGAATTTTGTAACAAGTATATTGTGGCTGGACCTTGACACAATTTTTTAAACGCATCTATTCAAGAAACTAGTATTTCAAGCCTTAACACTTACTTTCCCACAAAGAAAACCGACATGATTTACAGAACATTTAACTCTTCACTGAAATTGGTCTTGAAAAATCTATGCCAAACATTATTATCGCATGATATGCTTAAGAAATTAAAGGGCAATTCTTTAAAATGTTATCCTCAGACTACCCATGAGCTACCAACTTCTCCTTATCATGCCATGCCACACACTTACCTGGGAGACCTGGAGCTCCAGGCAAACCTTTGGGACCTCTTCCCGGAGGGCCACGTTCCCCCCTTTCTCCCAAGTCACCTGCATTTCATTAGAGAAATGTTATTTTTCTGTACATCTATAAAAATAAAATTCCATATTTTTAAACTTTAAGCAAAGCCCAAATTTAGAAAGCAAATGTCATGAAGCTGCCATAAAATACGTTGTAGCAAATTTAGGAAGGCCAAAATCAAGTTAATCATATTAATCAATCTAAGGGGGGGATATCAAATAATGAAGATGCTGAGATATAATCAAATATCCAGAGATGTTGAAAAGTCATTTACCAAAGTAAACATGCATTCCTGTTACAACATTCAATAAAGTAAGAATCAGTAGCTAGTTCCTTAGCAGGAGAAAATAAATCTACCTCAACCTAAAAGCTAGCATCATGCCTAACAGAAACACAAGAGACAGTTCCAGTGTAGTCAGACCATGTAAGAATGCCTGCTTACCACTTACTTATCATTTGGTTGGGGGAGTTAAAACCACCCCTATTTTCAGGGAATATGAGTATGTATCTTAAATCCTAGAACATCAACTCAAAATCTACTGCAAACAGTAAGAAAATTCAATAAAGTAGCAAGGTACAAAACTATATATGGAAAGCAATAATTTTCATATGCAAACAACTAGTAATGAGATATAGTAAAAAAAGATCTCATCTCTAATAGCAATCAAATTATTAAATAACTAGGAATAAGTTTAATCAGAAATATGCAAATCCAGCATGAAAACATTTTTAAATTTCCCAAGGATAAAAAAAAGACTTGAAAACTGTTTTAAGGTGAAATGACATCATCATAAAAAGTTGTCAATTCTCCCTAAGCTGAATTTTCATGATTCCAATAAAAATTCAGATCTTTTTTTTAAACCGGAAAAGGTGATTCTGAAGTTTTCAAAGAAAAACACATAAGCCAGAATACCACAAAAACACCAAAAAGAAAAGCAACATGAAGGGAATTAATCCTACCAGATATTAAAATGGTGTGGTACTGGTATGAATAGACAGACCAGTGAAACAGAAAGTCCAAAACAGCCTAAATACACCTAGGAACCTGGTTTGTAATAACAGTAGCATCTTAAGGGGAAACAGTTAAACAAGCCAATAAATGATACTGAAAAACAAAAAGATCAATTCCCCACACCACAAGCCAAGATCAATTAAAAATGGATCAATTAATATAATTTAAGAACCAGAAAAAAACAAAGGAGAATTACTTTATAACCTCAGATGTAAGTTGGCATTTCTATTATGATTCAGAATATGAAGAGCTCCTAAAGTCAATATGAAAGACCAACAGCAGTATTTTAAAAAGTGAGAACACATGAACAAGAAAATCACTAAAAGGAAACAAAAATGGCTCTTAAATAAATGAAAAATTCCTGTCTTCGCTCTCATAACAAAATACATGTCAATTAAAAAGGACAAGGATATTCTTTTGAATTAGAAGATCAGCAAAGTTTCCCAAGTTTAGTCAAACATATGCTAGCAAGTCTGTGGAAAAATACATTATTACACATTGTTAAAAGAGTGTAAATTGGTACAGTCTCCTGGAGGACAATTTGATAATATCTATAAAAATTACAAATAGAAGTACCATTTTCCTAGTAATTCCTCTTCTAGGAATTTATCCTATAGATGTAGAGCTTATGTTGATATCTGTGCCAAAATGAAATATATACAGTGTTGTTCACTGCAGCCCTGCTGTAACAGCAGGTTGGAAACAACGTAAATGTCTGTTAAAGGGTTAAATACCGATGGTACCGCCACAGAGTGGAATACTATGCAGCCACGAAGAAGAGCCGGGAAGCTCTCCAAAATAACCTCCAAGACATATTGTTAAGTGAGAAAAGCAAGATCCAAATCACTTTAACTAAAGCACAATATGATTTGTTTTTAAAAGGATGTGGGAAATACTTGTATTCATATATGCTTGCATACTATCACTGGTAAAGATATGCGGGAAACTAATAGTGATTTCCTGATGGGAAGGATAAAGGCCGATGGGAGGCAGGGGTGGGAGAGAAACTCTTCACTAAACATCTTTTTATACATTTCTAATTTCTTGAAATAGTATTACTGAAAATGAATGAATTTTTTAAAGTTAAAATATGCTGCCATAAATTCCCACATTTCATTTCTGACTCATTATTTATAGGGAATACGTTTTCAATAGTAACCAACCATGTAAATTTGCAAGACAGCTGATTGAATTTGGGGATTTAGCAACCACAGAACAAAGTTACATTAAGTATTCTGGCTCCTGCAGAGACCAAACCCAGAAAGTTGGCCTTATTAACAGAGTTCCCTAATAACTTAGCTAACTGGTCCTCAAACACTTCTAACTGCTCCTACTTAAAGGCACTATTCTATTATCCCATTAGTATAGTATATTATTATTCTACCATGCTTTAAAAAGATGCAATGGCATTTTGTGACAAATTCTGTACATAATCATCTTTCCAAATATCTGTATTAGCCCAACCTCATTGAACATTGGACCAAGTTTGTTATGATTTAAAAAACAAAAGGATGTAAGCAACAAAAACAGGAAGAATTCTGTACAACTATCTGCACATTAGTCAAATAGTCAAATTAGTCAAAAATCCCTAATTCTCAAGAGAATGTTTAAAGAGTCACCTTCTTTGATTTTTAGCTGTAAGAGTCCTTGGATGAATATTTTATGATGAATCAGCTATCTTTTCAAAACAACTGAAATTTAAATACAAATACTGTGTGAGGATACAGAGCTCAGGCTGAATTCATATTCACGTGAGTTTTTTTTACCTCATCATCATTTTTGCTTCCCTATATTTGAAAGCTATGACAATAGACATTTTAAAAACTAACAACTTAAGCACCCTTGTTACCTTAGCAATTTAAATCTTATATCACTGTAATTCTGGAAGCTGGTGAGAGAAGAGGGCCTCTGAAGGGACTACATTTTCTGAAGATACAGAATGGAGATTATAAATTCTGATGTAACTATCACACGGAGAGTGAAAGTGAACCACATGCAAGTGTGAAGCCGCACCGACTTGTAGCATCTTATGTAGCATCTCCTTGCACGGAAGAAGGCTGCTGTTTTAGTTGTGAGGCTGTCTTTTGGTTATAGAAAAAAGAATTGTAGATGATCTCCAAGACAGAGCTACCCTGCCTACACACTCCACAGCGAGCCATGTGCTCTCTGCTTCTGTTTATCACCAGGGTTAAGCTGCTTCAAGCCCTGGTCGTGTCTTCCTTGAGGTGTATGAAACCTGGCTCGGGGAACAACAGGTCCACCTTTGTAGCTAGCCTCTTGGGTCCGAAAAATACATACAAAGACCTCGTGAAACAAACTTTAGGTAAGTATTAAAGGGAAATCTACAGTGTGAGTAGCAAAACAGCTCATTGTGAACAGACCGGCTAAAACTAAAATTCTCATTGCTCCTAGCTGCTACTTATGTCATTCATTTGAAACTATAACCGATGCCCTATCTCCAGTGTGAGCAGATGAATGCTGAGAAAGGCCTTGGTCACAGTTACGACATGTATATTTTCTCAAGCCTTCATTTACATATTGGTACATCTATTTGACTCACATTAGAACATCTAAAAAAATATACAGCCTGACTCCAAAGAGACCTAAACCTAATCTAAACCATCAACATATAAAGAGTATTTATGACATGAAAGACTGACTTAATACTAAGCGAAGTGAACCTAAGGCCAGTTAAACGTCTGTCATGTTTCTGCTTGAGTACACGCATGAAATGTACATGGAGCAGGGCCTTTGGCCCTGACATGTTTGTGTAATAGTGGATAAAACATGTTGATGAAAACCAAAAAAATTATAAGTAAGATTTAGGCATTATTTCTACCAGCTCCTACTGAAAGAGTTTCACTGTTTTTCCGAGTAAGTTTTCAGGACAAAAACAGCGATTTGATTAAGACGTAGCCTGAACGGTTAAAAGTTTTGGTAAAATATTGTTATTTACTTAGTAATTTTTCTGGAAAAAAGATGCGCAGAGTGCTCTATGGCAGTGAGACCCACACCATCCCTTCTTCATTAGGCACCGGAAAAGGCAACAGCGATACTGAAATACATCTTTTCTTTTCTCTAATTGAACATTGAAGTTTCAAATGGTGGAGTATTTATTCTCAGGGAAAATTCAACCTGCACCTTTGGATAGGAGAACAGTCCATGTTTTCAATTGAATATTATTGTTAATGTGTGTAGTGGGACAAGAAAGATCAAGTCCAGTCACCTGGAATCATATTTTTCCAACTGTGTGACATAATTGATTGATAAAGAAAATCTAATTGCTCCTTTCTACCCACACCCCAAATCTTAAGAAGAAAAATGAAGAGAAGTTGCTGCTTTAAAAGAACCCAATGAGGGTTCCAAGGAGGAAGGTGGACAGATAAAGTCCTTTAGAAAAAAGAAAAGGACTATATCACTTTTAGATCATAGACAATGTTATACTGAAGAAGAATTAGGGGCGGTTCCTTGTATGATCAGCTGCGCTCAATGGATGGATGAACTTAGCACTGGAGACGTTTTACAGGTTCCAAATATAGAAATATTACAGTTCTCTTCCCTCCAAAATAAGGTCCATCTGCTAGAGCTAACCCAGTCCACTCCAGTCACAGTTCAGTGGTCCTAGGAGCTTCCCAGGAAGTTTCTTGAGCATTTTATTTTCAGTGATTCTCCACCCTGGTTGCATATTAAAATCACCTGAGGAAAATTTTTCACTCCTGATGCTCCGAGCAATCAAATCACCACCTGTCGGACAGGACTCAGACATGGCTGGTTTTTAAAGCTCCCAGGTGATTCCAGCGTGCAGCTCAGGGGGAGAAACACAGCGTCAGACAGAATCTCCCAGGGTGGGCAGTAGACATTTTCATTTCTTAGGGAATAAGCTGGGGCTCCAGGAGAGTTCTCCCACTAACTCAAAGTTAAGCTCTGGCCCAAATATGGAGACCTCCTTTTAGCCAGAGAAAGCAGGCCTGTGATTTCTATCACCCCTACAAGGTGTTCCTTTTCAGTAGGAAAACGGGTGATTGTGCACACGCGTGCATCTGCCTCCATCAGAATCACCTGGAAGCTTGTTGCAACTCGGACTGCTGGGCCCCCTGTGCAGGGCCGCTGATCAGGGGCTGGGCGGGGCTGGAGAGCCCGGCGTCCTAACGGGGTTCCGGGCGATGCGGGTGCACCCGGGAGCCACTGCTCTGACCTGCCGCTCCAGGGCGGCTGTGGAGTCGCCCCTGCCTCCTGCGCTACAGAGCCATCCACGCCAACGAGCCACCTGAGGCAAGTAGACTTTCTTAGAAATGATTTACGGAGCGAATGGGGCCTAAGCCCAGAGAAGGCTCTTCCGCGTGAGGTCCTGACCTAGAGGCTAAAGGCAGGACGGGGATGAATGAGCATGTCCCGCTTCCAGGGAAAATACCCAGTTCTCTTTAAGGTGAACTCTGAGCTCTCTCCGTATTCGACTTTGTCCAGCCTCTGAAAGCTTTGAATTTGTGCCAGACTTACAAGGGCTCCAATTAGGACTTTTTTTTTTAATGTGCAGTTCTGCACATGCCAAAAAAAAAGAAGTAATTAACAAAATTGTTTCAGCTAAGGACGTAGTTAGCCAAATGCTTCAGCCGTTCATTTACAGAGCCAAAAAAAAAATGCCTCTGACCATTCACACGATAAGATTTATCCCTAATTGGGGCACTACTGTTGGGGGGGAAAAGAAGCCCCCGTCTCTTATTTTTGCTGCCACGTCTCTCTGAAGTTCCCTAAAGAGCTGCCAGTCACTCATCATGACATAGAAACTCCTGTGTTTCGCCTCGACACGGGGCACACACTCCGAAAGCTGATACACTCAGTCTGACTCGCAAATGCCTCTGAGCGGGCGGCCCTGCGGCAGGTCCTGACACCTCCCACGCCCCCACTCGGGGTTTTCTGCGCGACACTGACCTCGGCGGCTTAATTTGCTCTAAGTAACAGGGGAAGAAACTAACTCTCTCACTCCTTCACATGAGAAAGAAGGAATGGAGTTAGATTGCGCTTCAGAGCTGAAATATACAGACAAACTAAACATCCTATGTCTCTTTTTAAAAGAGGGAGGCGGCTTTACCTCAGGATGTAATTGTTCTTATGTCCTGGTAACAAATGTTGTCATTTTAGGTGATGGATGCAAACATTCCAGGGCTGACTCCCACCTTAGGAGAGCTCTACAATGATTTTAGGGTCCCCCCCCAACCTCCCAGGAAAAAAAAAAAAAGCTGAATTACCCCTTACCCAATCCGGTCAAGTTTACTTTGAACTATGGTTGAGGCAGAGTGTCACTGAGGACCAGTGCTGCAAGTCCAGGGACCTAAATTCTAGTTTTTGGTCTACTGTTGTCATACAGCAAGGTCAGGGGAATGTCAGCTAATTGTTTTCTAATCTTTGCCATCATTGAGGGAGTACTGGCTTACCTTTAGGTCCCCGCAGGCCTAGAGCACCAGGAGGGCCTTTGAGCCCCGGGAGGCCTCGAGGTCCCACCTGGCCTGGGAAACCATTGTCTCCGGGGAGCCCTGGGGGGCCTGGCGGGCCAGGCTTCCCAGGGAGGCCGGAGGCCCCTGAGTCCGGACGCTTGAGACTAGCAGCCATCTCAGCAAGGTGCTCTAAAAGATAATAAACGGGAGAGTGCAGAAAGTCTGGAACATGAAAGAGACTTAAAAAAAAAAAGAGGCATTTTAGTGCCTTTTTTCTAAATGTGGCACCAGAGCTTCAGAATGAATAGTCAGATGAGCTCTCCGTGAGCTTCCCGCCAGGAACTCCACTGAGGTTCCCTCAGCCCTGCTACCTCTGGTCCTGCTGTTCTGTGACAAGGGGGCCGGGGGGTGAGGGACCATAAGCTGCAGGGCTTCAGGATGAGGGGCGTCCTACAAGGATGAGTGTGTCACCCGGATCCCAGCTGGGCATCTGGAAGCCCAGGATGAAGAAAGTGAGTTTCTTAACACAGGTGGAAGTGTGTGTCCAGGAGTTCTTGAAAAGCCACAGACATTCTCCAGAATTATCAGTGAGCCACGGCCTGAGACCAAGCCCCACATCCTCAGTTAAACGATACTGAAAGGCCCCAGGATTCATGACTTCTCATAAATTATCGTCTGAAAAGTTTTTTTATGCTTGGAATAGACAACCGGTATTTAAAAATAGCCTGCTTCTCAGGAATGTTCAGTCCATCTAAAAATTAATAACTGGGCTTTTTTCAGAAACCATTAAATAGATTAAGAACCATCCACCAAAACCATGAAGAACAAGAACATGTTCCCATTAAAAACCCTAAAGGAAACAATCTGGTGGAACATTCCTTCCAAGCTCCAGGGTATGAAGGACATGATGACTTAGAAATGATTTCTAACCAACATTTTTAAATTGTCTAAATGCAAGTATTCTAGTTTGCCTTTCATATGTAAGAGTTAGCATAAGATTTCCAACATATGTGATGCATACAATTGAAATGTCCTTTCAAGATAAAAATGTCTGCAATCAAGAGACTTATATTGGTTTTTGAATACACAGTGACAATTTCATTCTGGAAAATTCTACAAGTCCACTAGACAAATTAGACTTTCTCATAAGCATACAAAAAAAGAGTATTTCTTCAAGACAGAATTGGTCCAAAACAGAAGGTAATTATTTGTTAGAAGGCCCCAGTGTTATAGGATCTCCCCAGTTCTAGGGTCATTTGCCACATCTTCCTCTTCTGTGTGGTTTCACAGCTAGAGCAATTCTGAGATGTCAATGACCAATAGCAATTGCTACAGTTACAGGTTAATTTAGAGAAAGGTTAACAAATGTGACAATACACCACCATTTTGATAAAATATTAGTTAGTGATTATCTATATATGTGATACATGAATAGAAGTAATGTCCTCTTACAGGTAGAGAGTCTGTCGGTTTTTTCTGTAAACTACAGAGAGCCGAGGGCAGGGTGGGGCTCACACTAAGTGGGAGGATGCCGGGACAGGACAGGTACCTGAGACTTTGTGTTTCAAAGGAAGAAAAAGTATGTGTGTGTGTGTGTGCATGTATACTTTCCTGTAAATTAACCTCCTTGGCAAAAACAAAAATAGATTAACCCAGAAATGTAATGTTGTTCTTACAAAGCTATTGTGTAGCCACAAATTGGAAAAACATAACTGACATTAATATCACTCAAAAACTCCCGCCTTGAACGCACACCAAAGTGAAGCTCTTATGATTCACTTACCTTGCATGACTCTCATGCAAACCTGCTTAATGTGCTGATCTGTCGGTGCCCTGCCCTGGGACAGAAAAGAGAGAAGACAGCTCACACCCAACCATGAAGAGGCCATTGTGTAACGGTCAACGGACAGACTCAGCCAGGAACCAGGTGGCTGGCTTTACAAGCACACTTGCTCACGCGGCTGAGGAGCCCCCCAGATGCCCCCCATCCCTTCTGCGGCTGGGGTGGGGCCTGCAGAGGAGCCCTGCTCACCGGAGGGCCCTGGATGCCAGGCAGGCCGGTGGCGCCCTGCTCCCCCTGCACGCCTCGAGGCCCAGGGCGTCCTCTGGGCCCTTCCTCGCCAGGAAGCCCTCGACTTCCTTCAGGCCCCCTCAAGCCCGGCTCGCCAGGGTTACCTGCCTAGAAGACAGAGCACATCACAAGACCAAGCTGCACACAAGGAAAGAGTCAGCTTAATAGCAACACAAGCACATGTATGAAACTGGGTTTCCTTACGTGCTGTGTCCCAAGAGGTGTTCGGTCAGAAGTTACAGATCCTCAAGGCAAAGATACGAAATGCCACACAACTTACCAGGCCCTTAGAATGCTAGTTCAGGTAAACTTTTACAAATCTTTCTTTTTAGTAAGGTTATTATTGCAAAAGTTTAGTTGAAATAATACATTTTTTAAACCACAGTTGTATTACTTCAATCTATTTCCTAAATGCAAATTCGTTTTTAATGAGACTTGTTAAGTGTTTCTGGTCTCAAAAAGGCCACTGCATTCATGTGACGTGTTACTTTGTATATCACCAATACAGAAGGCATAAAATAAAGATATTTCCAAGAACGTAAGCTATTTAGCTTTTAGAACATTCTTTGAAGAATCTAAAGAAGCCACGTGTACCCAGGAATTATAAAATACTAACATAAACTAAATCAACATATTTAAAATGCTTCAAGTGTTTAAAACGCCGGAAAAGAGCATGTCTCCAATTGATTAACGTTAAAGATCTAAATATTAAAGAAGTTAAAAACAAACCACTTCTTTAGCACAAAAGGATATACCAGTCAAACTTTTTTTTTAAAGCAGACCACTAAAAGCATATTTAAAAATTTTCATTTACAATAACTGCCTTTAGAAGAGACTACTAGTTAATTCAGCTTCTGTTAATCTACCTGTGGTGGGATTTGTAGCAGAGTGGGTGCCCTGTGTTCTTGTTTATAGGGGGACGGGAAGAGGAAAGGACAGACATCAAAGGGAGGTTAGAGTTCAGGATGCACATGTTCTGAAAGCAACTTAATCCTGCTGCTTTATCATGCACATTTGTCCAGAAAAAGCCAACTCTTTCAAACATTCAGCTGTTTTAAACTGGAAGGAAGAAGGTGATGAAGTGGTGCTTTCACTAGACACATCTAAAAATATAGCTCAGTGAATGTGCCTTTTCAATCACTCTTTATGCAAAAAAATCATACTCATCTAAGTCAACCCATCAAAATTGCTTCTATGAAGATATTACGGCTTAAAAGACTTCCTGGAAGATGGTGTCAACAGGGTGAGCTACCGGTGTGCTAGCTACAGAGGGCTGGGGAATGGTCAGGTGATTTGCACCAGTGCGCAAACCACCCAGAAGAGAAGCCAAATGCATTTGGAAATGCACCGAAGAACCGACAGAAACCAAAGGAGACAAAACCAGAGGGTATTATTTTGTTGGCAATGCCGGTAATACTGCCAGAACAAGGGACAGGACATTTCTGAGGAGGGGACCTAAGGCCAACGTGGCCGGGACAGCCTAAGGAAGGACCTGGGGTCTTTGGGAAAGAACTCCTCCACTAGGAGGGGTATACTGAAGTAGAAACCAGGGCGCACACTTCTACTTACCAGGCGTGTCTGTGCTGAAATGACTGAGGAGAGTTTTCTGTTAGTAGCTATTTCCCCTGATCCTGGGACAGTACATTTCAATTTCATCAGTATTACTTGGGTAGCATCAGAGAAGAGCAGGACAGGAAGGGGAAGCTGATAAATCAAGAGTGAACTCCTAGTATTCTACCCAAATTTAAATGAAATTAACTCATTTTGACCACTGCGCTTTCATTCACTTTTACCTTTTATAACTTGAATTCTCACCGTTGAACTTAACTGATAATTTCTAGATAGGTAGCCAAGTAGGATTTCTGTGGCCAAAATCTATGAAAGTTTACATTTTTCTCAATCCTAAACCATTTCTATCAAATATTCTCAGGCATAAAGATGTTACTTGAAGCTTGAGACTTTGCTTGAGAGGCAGTGTATAAACAGGTAAATTAACGCAGTCTAATAATTTCCATCTCAGCGGTCATAAAGAGCCCAGGGCTGGACACTGTAACCAAGTCCGGCGGGACCTCCTGGAGAAAGTCGGACTGAGATGCGGCTGAATGAGTAGGAAGCAGCTATTCTAGGGGAGAGGAAGGGGGCCCCAGGTTGCCAGGGCAGCACCAGGCATGCACAGATGCCGCGATGGACCAGCCCCCAAGAGGAAGGAGAAAGGTTGGCGAGGCCGAGTCCTCTGCATCGAAGGCTTTGTATACCTGGCCAAGAGTCTGATTTTATTCTATAATGTGTGTTTCTTGAAGGGCTTTAAGCAGATGAGGGGTAAATAGTGGGCTTTATCTTTTTATCTAGATTCCGCTGGCTGCCATGAGGATAATGTGTTGGGCAGGGACAGAGAAGATGGGGGAAATGCCAGAAACAGGAAGGACTTGGAGATTAACGGAAGCTGGTGGTAGTGGCTGAGCTTCAGCTCTTCTCCTCAACCCATCTTAATTTTCTCATTATATCAAATGTGCATTCCTTTCAAATTAGCTTATCATTCCTGGTTTGCTACTGATGGGTTCTGCAGTTCTGAATGCATCCAATCTCTAAGGGCATCAGTTTAGATTCTGTAAAATGATGAACTGAATGAGATGATCATTTTCTAGCTCTAATAATTCTCTATTACATTTTCTTATGCATTATGCCTTTATCTTATTTCGCCAACTAGAATGCACAGAAGATTAAGAAAATTTCTGAAATATTTGCAATGGCATGACTTCCAATGAAATTCAGTTATACTCTAGTCACCACAAAGCACAAGTCAATTCTTTTACAATGACCGATTCATGAAAAAGATTGCCAGGTATAGTCACTGAGCCACTTAGGATATGAAAAAAAACTCCGTTCAGAGTGGTTAGTTCAAAAGGCACATCCACTTACACTGTTGTGACGGTTTTCTTCTTTAGATTAATCCATTACTTAAAGAATAGATTTAGACATTAATTTCCTTGAAGGTAAGTCCTTTAACAATTGCCTTTATAGAATCATTCCAAGCAGAGCATTGTATTTTCTATACCTTTATTGATATTTTTATTCTTTATACCACTACTTTTCATTATACTTACAGATCCCTTTGGGCCAGGTAATCCTATATCTCCCTAAATCAATAAAACAAAATCGTATTAGAACAACGTATTCACATTTGATAGTTTACTAAAAACATTTAAAAGGTTATCAAGCTGCTGAAATCTATAGAAAACCATGAACAGATGATCACGGGCACTGTAGAAAAACATTAGATTCAAATTTGGATTCAAGTCCCAGTTCTGCTACTTAACTCTGTGACCGTATGGGAGCTTTCTAACCTCCCAGCCTTTTGTTAACTTATCTCTTAAATGACAGGGTTGAGTCAGAGCTCTCCAAAGCTCCAACCAGATCTAAAATGCTAGGCAGCAAAAATTAAAATGTTTAAGTTCAAAGATCCTAAACTAGCATGCTGTTATAAAATATAACAGACATTTAAACCTAATGACTTTATTTTTGAAACTCTAACAATATTTTATAATTCATCCCAAAAAGTCTCTCTAATCAAATAATGCATGTTTTTAGGCTTTTAAAAAAAGTCTTGAACATCTCCCACCACTAATTCTAGATATAGTTTTAACTCAAGTTTTAGCCTATCAGTTCATCTCCACTACAAGGAATGACTTAAAACATTCTCTTAGCCCATAAAATGGACACATTTAACAGAAAATAAAATTGAAATCACCCTTTTTAAAATTTACTTAATAGTTAGGAATCTTCACCTAATTCAGATGTTACCTTTCTGTTAACTCTAAATCCTGGAAATCTGAATAGAACATTAACAGAATTTTTGCCTGCATTGAAAGCTCTCGAAACTATTTTATGAGAAATCTATCACCCCCCGACCAAAGGAGCAAACATCAGTTTCCACATGAAGTCATGTTAGATTGCATCCACACCATAAAGAGGAGCCAGCCGATCTGGCAGTTCTGGTGGCACAGAGCACTTGTTTTATTCTTGCTGCCTTCCTGGAGATGTAGCAGCAGCATCCTCTGCAGGTGGAGGTCACTTCCTTAGAGGGTTTTAGACTAGAGAGATGCCCTCGGTCACACTCGTGAACCACAGGTTTCTTACTATAATAAAACTTTAATTTTCCTTCCATGGTAGGCACTATTCATAGACTTTCTGTAGTCATATAAGAATCACCTTGAATGTCTAGAATATAAAGCCACAAGGAAATTCACCACCTTTACAAGGGAACATTTTGCCCTCCAAATATTTAAGGCCACGTCTATTGATTTTGGGGTGTTTCCCCTCGGCTTCACTTGATCAGACTGCAATCTTGGCGAGTCATTTGTTGACTTATACAGAAACATGCTGGCCTTTAAAGAAGTCAGTGAGAATAACACTGTCAGAGAAAGGAAAAGTCCTGTCTCTCATATAGTTCGAAATCAGTCAGTCTCCATCATTAACCAGAAAAAATAAAATGTCTTACAAGTTCACCCCTTTCTCCTGCTTCACCTTCTTCACCAGAGGCGCCCTAAAAATTAAAATTAGAAGTCATATTTTTGAATTCTCAGTCCCTTGGCTCAGTTTTAACCAGTCAACACTGGTAAGTGCTCACAGCGCCCCCAGATCATGCACAACTATGAAGTGTTTTCAGCGGCCTTCCCGTCTAGCTGTCAGTGGCTGATCCAATCAGAGAACAGCCTAGAGAGAAGCCAGAAGGTGAGATTGAGTTTCTGCTACAGATGAGGGTTAATGACTCTATCCAGCAGTCTTCTAAGTAGCTCATCCTTGAAAAAGGAACCCAGAAAAAGGACTAACTCTAATTCATATGCATAGTTTATTTGTTAAGTTGTCTTGATAAAGAAAAATTAAAACATTATGATGCGGCAATGGAAGGTTCACCAGACATGAGAAAATCAATTTGGTGAGTAAGAGAGACAGGGGCACTCTTCAAAGGAAAGAAAATGTATAGTCCTGGAGGGAGAGCCGTTATTAGTTCCAGCTCACTGAAATAATAGATTAAGTTACAGCCCAAACTAAACTCTAATGGTGGAGCTCAGCGACACACACTGACACGGCACCTCGTGCTGTTCTGATGATAGAACCTACCTGTTCACCCTTCGGGCCAGGTTCTCCACCTACACCCTGTAATGAATAAAATATAATACTTTCTCAGAATTTTAAGATTTTTTGACTACATAAATTCAAATGAAACTGCTCCCCTTACTGGGCTGGTGGATAAGAGGACGTATGAATAGTGTGATGGAAGAGAATGTCCCCCACCTTCTCACCCAACAAGTCAGGTAAAACGTAGAGAAACTGATAATTGTCCCAAAATTGCTGCCAACCTGGAGTGTTCTCTGCTCATATCCATGTAAAAATTGACTAGGAGGAATGTAAATTTAGCACTAAATAGGAAATGTGATTACAACTGAAAATTTCACTTTTCTCAGCTTTTATTTTGTTCCTTTTGATAAATTATTAATGATTTCTTTTGCCCCTCAGTCTCAATGCTCAGTAATTAAAGACATCTTTCCTGATAGTTCTCTATGATGATTTCTAGAAAAATCCTCCACTGGGCCAAAAGCAAGGCTGGATATCTTACCCTGTCACCTTTTATTCCAGGAAGTCCAGGGGGGCCAGGCAAGCCAGGGAGGCCAGGGCTACCGACAGAGCCCTGGAAAACAAATGCAAATCCCCAGAACCACCGTTACCGCAACACTGAAAACACCTGTCTGAAACACGCTGTGGGTGCTTGGACTCTGCTCGTCCCATTTGCTTCTCTCCCACACTCTCAGGAAAAGAAGGGCCATTCCCCCAAACCCCCATCCCAGCTCTGAGGTCCTCAGTTCCGGGTGTGCTCAGCTCCCCCACAGTGGGCCTTTCAGCCAAGCCCCGGCACTGAAGTAAAGGGCCACATTCATGCAGATCTCAGCATTCCTAGAACACGCAAAGGAGGGGCATGCGTGTCTCTCCTGACTTCAAAATGCTCTCTACAAATCATGCTGATTGACATACCCTCTGAGGGTGCTTGAGAGTCCACATTTACATTTCCACACATTCACATTAGATAGAAATCAAGCAAGGATGATGAAATCACCCTTTGTAAACTGTGTTTCTCCCCTTGCTTAGTTGTAAAATGATGTTGTGTTTTATATGAAGCAAATAAACTGCTGGAGGCTGGAATTCTTACCAGTTTCCCTGGCGGCCCTGGGGGTCCCACGGGCCCTATTTCTCCTCTACTGCCCTGGAAAAACACAAGCACGGCTGTCAGCTGGAGAGCTCACCAAAATTCAAATGCTTCATTACTATGTCAATGAAAAAACAGTCTTCCTAGGTTTATATTTAAATAGAAAAGTCATCAAAGTATTCTCCCATCTTCTAATGAAGGTGGTGACCTTTACACAAATGCCCAGGGCCTCCTTGGGGTTCATCCTCCAGGGAGCATTCGGGTGCTGTTCACTACGATTACAGACCGTTAGATCTACATGGTAACGGCAATTAGTAACTTCCAGCAGCTAAATCACAATCTAACATGTCATTGTTATTTGTGCACAGGTTTTATCCATTCACTTACTTTATGTGTTATTAACGTATAGGTACGTTAATTTTGAAATCTACATAATGCCCTAAACACAGTAAATTTTAAGCCTACAGTACATTTTTAAGCAACATCTGGCAACTGATTGTGAACCTCAAAAGACTGAAAAAAGAGACATAGGACAGAGATGTTTGCATTTAAATTACCACTGCAACTTCAAAAAGACACAGCAGAAGTTTATAAAGTTCCTGACATAAAAAAAATTCTTTGTTCTACTCATTCCTGCTCCAAACATGTCTCAAGAGATTAAATGGACTTTGGAAAGTACAAATCATAATGAAGATATACCAAAAGCAACACTCTAATTTCATTTTGTGAGCCAATTTCAGTTTTTTATTTGAAACTGTAAACCCTTTGAGAAGCGGAGACACATAAACTCTTCGATTTCTTTCCCCAAGAACTTCGTACAGTTTTATGCAATCTGATAAAAGCTTGTTTTATTTCTAGTACAGGTTCAACTAAACTGAAGATGAGATTATTGGATGAATAATCATATTTCCTGAAAGTCTTTTGAGTTTGTTTCTCTTTAAAATGACATGACAACTTCATATTAATGCTTCATATTTATAAATGCTCCAATAAGATTATCCTGATCTGACCTATATGCTATTCATTCATCTGTAAGTTGAACAAGGTGTCAGTATTCATAAACCTACCTCAACACCCAAAAAGCAAATAACTCATTTAAAAAATGGGCAGAGGATCTGAACAGACAGTTCTCCAAAGAAGAAATTCAGATGGCCAACAGGCACGTGAAAAGATGCTCCACATCACTAATCATCAGGGAAATGCAAATTAAAACCACAATGAGATATCACCTCACACCAGTTAGGACGGCCAACATCCAAAAGACAAGGAAAAACAAATGCTGGAGAGAATGTGGAGAAAGGGGAACCCTCCTACACTGTTGGTGGGAATGTAAATTCCTTCAACCATTGTGGAAAGCAGTATGGAAGTTCCTCAAAAAACTAAAAATAGAAATACCATTTGACCTAGGAATTCTGCTCCTAGGAATTTTCCCAAAGAAAACAAGATCCCAGATTCAAAAAGACAGATGCACCCCTATGTTTACTGCAGCACTATTTACAATAGCCAAGATATGGAAGCAACCTAAGTGTCGATCTGTAGATGAATGGATAAAGAAGATGTGGTACATATACACAATGGAATATTATTCAGCCATAAGAAGAAAACAAATCCTACCATTTGCAGCAACATGGATGGAGCTAGAGGGTATTATGCTCAGTGAAATATGCCAGGTGAAGAAAGATAAGTACCAAATGATTTCACTCAGTCATGGAGTATAAGAACAAAGCTAAAACTGAAGGAACAAAACAGCAGCAGATGCACAGACCCCAAAAAGGGACCAGCAATTACCAAAGGGAAAGGGGGTGGAGAGGGCGGGCGAGAAGGGCAGGAGAAGGTAATTAAGAGGTATAATGATTAGCACACATAATGTAGGGGGGTGCATGGGGAAGGCAGTATAACACAGAGAAGACAAGTAGTGACTCTATAGCATCTTACTATGCTGATGGACAGTGACTGTAATGGGGTATGGGGGGGACTTGATAATGGGGGGAATGTAATAACCACAATGTTGCTCATGTGAAACCTTCATAAGATTGTGATACCTTAATAAAAAAAATCCATAAACCACCTGAATTTTTTATTTCTTTAATGATTAAGAAATATTTTCCCAATTACAAGTCTTTAGTGATGAGCTATAATTTTGTGGTAGTCATTATATTACATGACTTAATAGGTGACTTAAAGGAACTGCTGTTAAAACTTTTCAAACAAATTTATATAAGCCACCTGTTAAGTATGTGAGTTTGAATGACACGTTGGTCCTTAACCCTTGTGAGCAGCTTAGAGGCCAGAGGCAGTGTCCAGTGAGGGCAGATGCTGGAGAGATGTAAGTCTAGCTGAAAAGCAACCACTGTGATAGAGTTCTATCAGCCTATAAATATAGAGATTAGGTTCCACTCCATTAAATTCACCCAGCCCTTCAAAGTTCAAGACTGATTTTTGTTAATGTATCTGCTCTGTTGGCATTTTCATGTAATTTCTTAACTGCATCACAATTGAGATCCTAAATGTCATCAGGCTAACATGCCTTTAATTCACAGAACAATTAACAGTGATTGGTGAGAAAAAGATATATCAGAAGGAGAAAGCTCAGTTCTTGACACAATCTCAAGTATTCACTTCTAAAATGAGCCACTGTGTTGTCTTACCCAAAATAAAGATGATTAATGGAGGGTTTTTTTCTCTTCTATGAACCACAAGGCTAAATTAAAATAAAGGATTGCATAACCTTTCATTTATTTTTAGAGAGATTAATTCTCTGGTCAAAGACAAAGATTATCTCTGCTGGAATATTATTTTCTCTGTCTTTTGTGAGTTCTCATTATTCAGTTTATAAGTGTTTCCAAACACTGGCAGGCCCTTGGTAATACATACGAATGACTCAGAATCCTAGTAAAGGCAGCCTGTTCTGTGGACCTTCTGCACCAATGAGAGCCCAACATGTGTAGCATCTTTTCATGTGCCTGTTGGCCATCTGAATTTCTTATTGGATGCATAATCATATTTCCTGAAAGTTTTTTGAGTTTGTTTCTCTTTAAAATGACATGACAACTTCATATTAATGCTTCATATTTATAAATGCTCCAATAAGATTATCCTGATCTGACCTATATGCTGTTCATTCATCTGTAAGTTGAACAAGGTATCAATATTCACAAACCTGCCTCAACACCCAAAAAGCAAATAACCCGATTAAAAAATGGGCGGAGGCTATGTGTAGGGCTGGGGTAAGGAGTCCACCTGTGTTGGGCGGAAGTCCTGGGCATTTACTCCTGTGTTACTGCGCAAACAGACAACATGTGGCTCCTCCTTTTTATTTAATTTCCATCCTATAAATCCTTGGCCATTGTAAACTTAGCTATTTCTATATAAATCATCTCATTTTGAAAAAATGTAAAGTTTGTTTTCTCCACAATGCCCAAATGGCTACGAACAAAGTATTAGGGCAAGATTTTCTGGTAGCTGTCTTACGAATTCTCTGTGTTCTAAAAGCATGCATATTCTTTCTCTAAGTTTTGAAATTTCACCTGTAAGTAAAATGAACATAAGTAAACAAAATATAAACAGTAATTTCTAAAACCACAGATTAAGCTTAATACATTCTGCCGGGAGCCGTTAGCAGTGACTAGGAACCCCAAGAGCCCTGAACATCGGAAGAACCTCTTCTGTTTCAGTGGCTGTGATGATGAGCATCTTCTCAGATGCGGGCAAGGGCGGCTGGTAGGGAAATGGCTGTTCTACCCAGTGGCTCATTTTTACAGCCCCGTGAAAACAAGAGTTACGATTTTTAGCAAGACAATTGGAAGGGATCAGGAAAAAAAAGGCAAAATCCTACCATTAAAAATGTGAAGACGATGATAAAGACTCTTTCTCCTGGAAGCTCTGTGCCACTACATAGATCTACATGTTCAGGCTCATCTTCCAGTTCATCCCTATTCAAGGAGTCAATCAAGGCTTTAATATGAGATGCAGGCCCTCTGCCAGGGATTCCCAGCTCTGGCTGTGGCCTCGGGTCCCCTGAGGAGCTTTTTAGAAAAAACAGATCTCCCTGGATGACCCCCACGGCTCCATCTCCCCATTCCTCCTCCGTGTCCCAAACCCCTCCCCAGATCTGCATTCTGTAGTTCTCGGGAAGACCCAGGAATGTGTTTGGGCTTATGTTGTGTGTGTCTTCACTAGCTTGACTTAGACATTTGTTAAATGCTCACTCTGATAGTTCTATAAATAACTAAATTTTTAATTTGCTAAATATGTCTTGTGCCATTAGAATTTGGCAAGCTCACTTCAAATAAAAACCACACTGTGGAGCCTTGATTTGAGCTGTCGAGGTAGAGAGGAGGGCAAGGGTGCTGAACCCGGTGCCAGGTTGTATGTAGCCTGGCCCTGCTGGTCCCAGCTAACTCCAGGCCCACCACTTGACCTCCCCGTGCCTCGGTTTGCTCATCTATACAATGGGGATAAAAATAGTATCTGTCTCTGAAAGGTTTCTGAGAAGACTGAATAGGTATATTAAGCACTTAGAAAATTAAATGTCTATTTAATTTTATGGCATTAATTAAGTGTCTGGTTCATAATAAGCAGTAGAGAAGTGTTAGTTATTATTTTTATCCCAGGTTTTATCTAAGGACTAGAGATATTTGTCAAAATTATGTCTTTTCCTCAAATACTTAATTAGATGTTTTTTGCCTCTCAAATATGATTCTCTTGAAAAGCGCAAGTTGTGCTTGGAAAAAGCAAGTCTCTAGTTCTCATTTCTTGAGTTTCTGTCAAGACCGTTGATCACCAAGAAGGTGCCATCTTTACAAACAACTACTGGGAGCTACTGTGTAAAACTCATTTCAACAAATACAGACAAATAATTCACTTTGGGAGTTTCCCTCTTAAAATAAAACTGCTGGACTTTTAAAATATCACAGAATATCAATTTTATTATACCCATCACAATTATTTTATCAAAAATATTTTCTTCCATTGTACTTTAGAGTGTGATGGGTGTTGTATTTACCTGATTATCCAAAATGCTAACTAGCTAGAGAATTAACTAACTTGCTGATTTTAGAAGTAGGAAATTATAAATCACTATACTTAGTCCGTATGTACTAAGTGCCTCTCTCTGGCAAAAAAGGATGCTCATTAACCCAGAAGACGTGATGATGTCTACAGATTGTTGTTTTACAAACTCATTTTCATATTAACATTGGAAGATCATATTAGTCTTACTACAATGATAATTTTTAGGTTAGCCACAAATATTTTAAATGTCTATTTAATTTTATGGCATTATATGGTTTGTATTCCTCTCTAGTGTAGGTTTCAATATTCCCTTGCACACACAGGCAGATCAAAATCTGTCTAAATTATAACCACCACAGCTGCTTCACAAATTATTGGCAGGGGTAACATTCCAGGACCAAATGGGGCAGGAAAGCAGCCTAGATCATTCAGCCACACACCATATGGGGACCTCTGTGCTTGAGGCTGTTGGTGATGGCAGGGGGCGGCTTTGTGAGAAATGACACAGGCCTCTGTAATTCCAGGGGTGTATAATCTTTGGACAGCTGGAGGTAGACCAGCATGGCACTCATCCGAATCAGAACCACGAGAGCCCAGCAAACGCAGGCCTCACAAGTTCTGGGAAGGGGAATGGACCCCCCCCCACCCAGCCACCTGCCTGCTCTAAACCAGGAGCCATCCAGCCCCAGGAGTAATCCAAGTGGAGTGTGACGGAGAAAGCCAGATGCATGATGCAAGTGGTAAAGGTAGGTGCCTAATGTTTTTTGATGCCGAAAAGCTCCGCCGTGGTATTGGAAAATGTTCATGAACAATGGTGGGGGAAGGGGAGTACTGTTTAATTTCAAAGGCACGTGCCAGTTACCCTGGTCCATTGTAGGACACATTAGAGATAGGTTTGCATTCTTGAGATTTGTAGGAAAAACTGATGAAATGTGTGAGGAATCATTGAAAATGTGTGAACTTATGTATGAAACTGAGTTTAATGATGTAAAGTGAAAGAACAAATGCATCTTTCAGTAAGCAGATTTGGTGTTAAAACTCTCCAGAACTATAATATTTATAACCTCTCATGACACCTTTCTGAAAAATTTATAGTGGGTGAGAAGTCAATTATTACCAACAGAAGCAGCATAGCAAGATTTATTATTCCTTCAGTTCATTTTAAGAAATACTTAGTGAGCACTACCTTCTGGCAGGCCTGAGTACACAATGCAGGGAGCACGCACACCCGGACCAGAGGCGCCCCTGCCTTCCTGCAGGTTCCACAGCGAGGGGCAGCAAGGGGCCAGGGGTTACAGGGCTCAGAACAAGGAGAGACCTCTTTTACCTGGGGGCAGGGCATAATCACAGATGCTTCAAATGCAGAGTTGATATTTCAACTACATCTAAGAGGCATGTGGGATGCTGAGTCAGAGAAGTGGAGAAGATGGCCATCTAAACGCTGAGCATGACAGAAAGAAAACAAAACCGCGTGGCAGGCTGAGCGGTGCAGAGAGGATTTGGAAATCAGCATGGAGTCCAGCCTGACTTAAACAGCGCCTCTGACCAAGGCAGAAATGGGAAGTAAAACTATGGGATAAACAGACGGCTTAAGATGGACAGTGAAGATGGACTGAGTCAAGTAAGACAGACCTTGAACAGGAGGCAGGAGAATCAGCACATGCTGCTGGAGAGAGGAAATGCGAAGAACACCAAGGCTTTGCGCCTCCGTGACAGGAGCAATGGGGGGAGTCTGACCTCTCGCAGAAACTCAAAAACTGAAACCTGAATCAAGCTCAAAACCTGCAAAGGCACAATTTGTGATCTGCCTCCCCTCACTTTAGAGGGTTAACCCCCACCCCACCCCACCCCCGCCCACACACACTAGCCTCCTTCGGCAGCGCTGCTTCTAGTTCATTAACACCCCGCGGGGCTGAACTGGTCAGGCGCCAAGCCCTCCGCACCTGCGGCACCGTTTGTGTGGAGTGCATGGTCCGGGCACACAGCGGGTGTCCTTCACCCAGACTCAGGTTCCTGCTCCACAGAATGAACACCAGACATCACGTCAGCGTGCTCGCAGTCCCGGGGCCCCTCACCCATGCTGTCAAGTCTTCCTGGACCAGTTATATGGCATCTTCATTGTGTTAGAAATGTGATGTGGTTATAACCTCATTGCTTTGACAGTCCGTTTAAGAAGAGTATTTTAATAAGAAACTCACAGGTGTCAAGCAAGAGATAAGAAAAAGGGAAGTGAGGAGACCATGAGCAAGGAGCATACTGGGGAGGAGGAGCTAGCTCCTTGAGCTGCAGAGAGACTCCTGGAAATCCCCTGGTAGAGGTCGGTCAGCAAGAATCTGTGAGCGGTACGAAGACTCTACTGCCGTGTCACAAGACCCCTGGAACATTTCACTTTCCTGAACCATAAAAATCCTCATCAACATGCTCAAGAAATGCTTTAGAAGAAGTAACTGTGAGATTTGGAAATATTTCTATGTTCTCACTTGGAGTTCTTTTTGTTACCCAGCCAACTTTGGTAATATGAACTTAGAAGGAAGGCTGGAGAGAATTTTTTTAAGTTAACTTTAAATGCATAATGTTTAATTTTCTACTCAGTTTCTCTCTAAGGGTTAAACTGAATCTGATGAGAAGTTATACATTGCTATACTTGCTGCAAGATGGACACATTTACACATGTGCACTAAAACAAGTCCAGCAGTTTCTCAAAAGATTAAGCACAGAATTACTGCATGACCCAGCAGTTCTACCCCTCGGGAGGTACTCAAGAGAAATGAAAGCTTATGTCCCCACAAAAACCTGCAGAAATATACTCAAAACAGCATTCTTCATAATGGCAAAAGAAGTGGAAATAACCCAAATGTCCATCAATGGATAAAAGGATGAATAAAATATTATCTATCTATACAACTGAATATTATTTGGCAACATACAGGAATGAGGTACTGATTGATACATAGTACAGCAGAGATGAACTTTGAACATTATGCCAAGTAAGAGAAACCAGTCTTTAAAAACCCCACATATTGCATGATTCCATTTATATCTGATTTTCAGAACAGGTAAATCTATTGAGACAGAAAGTAGATTAGTGGTTGCCAGGCTGACGGACGTGACTGCAAGCGAATACCCAGAAAAGAGTTTCTCCTCTGGGAGAAGAAAATGTTTTAAGACTGACCGTGGTAATGGCTGCACAATTCTATGAGTACACTACAAATGAATGACCTGTATACTTTCAATGAGTCTACAGTATATGAATTCTACAGTATATGCATGATAGCTCAGTAAAGTTGTTCTTTTAATCACACCAAAATATTTCCTTCAACATGGAATTAATTATCATGTTTTTTTTTAACACTTCATTTTTGTTTCCACTCTCTGAAAAGAAAAAAAAGCATATTGCATATCTAAACACCATTTCCATGTCATTGTCTTTCTGGACTAGCACATGCCCAGACATCAGAAGGCATTGTACATGAATGAATGAATGGAAGAACACCCAGTAAAGGAATGAATGAATGGAGGAATGCTCAAAACCTTTTCTCCAGAAAAGGGGTACTCACAGGAAGCCCCCGGGGTCCTCGCGGCCCCACCTCTCCTGGTGGCCCCTGGTGGCCCTGGTATGAGGAAGGCAGGCAGAGAAAAGGTTAACACACCCTCATCCCTTGCTCAGTGATCACAACAGGCTATAACGCAAGGAACAGTAACTGATGGCATCTTACCGGTTTGCCCGAATTCCCCAACTGACCAGGCTTCCCTGGGGCACCTGTGTTACCCTAAGGATAAAATGCAACAGTCAAAGTAATTCGGGTTAGTAAGCATGATGGCCAATCTGTCTCCTCCAGAATGAGTATTTCTTACACATAAAGAGCCTTAATTTCCCAATTACACATCTATAATCTGGGAGGATGTAGAATCTCTCCCTTGGTACATACATCAAAGTTCTGTAGATTTAGGATACTGTTCTGTAATTCCCAAAAGTATAAGACAAGTGTCAAAATGTCAAACCTGAAGGTCAGATCTCAAAAAATGAAGGTCTCTAGCCAGACAAGATTATGAAAGGATTTTTCTTTCTTCACAAAATTAATTATATGTCTCTCTTTTACCATCTCCACCTCCAATACATTTTTTTAAAGCCCTTTTACCTGACATTGACACTATTAAAATTATAAAGAAACCTGTGAACATGAGGAAATAAGAAGATATGTTGTTGAGAAAACTCTGCCAGCAAGCCTCAGGGAAGCCCGTGCCTGAACGCGCTTCTCTGCCATCCGTCTCTCGTGGTCCACTTATTAGGGCACATCTCTGCTCAAGATGCCACAGACCACTGTAATTGGAGGGCTGTAGCCATGTAATCTAATAGCGACCCATTTCTACATTTTTCACATTTTATCCATTAATTTAAAGTAAAGCTGTATTTTATCCCTTTACTTTTTTTCTTTCACCTATTTTTTTTTGCTAGAATATAAGCATTTGGTTGATCAGTACATGAACAAAATGCATAATATCTTTTTACTTTAAGCTAATCATCTCAATAATATTTACTGACATAATTTCTATGGCTTAATAATATCTTCCTTATTTTGAGTGGTAAAGAACAATAAAAGTTTCTCTGCTTTATTATACTGGCAAAGGATGACACTTTCAAGAAGCAAGTCTAAATAACACTTTGTCAAAGAATTCCTTCTGCAGCTTCAAGAGATTAGCATTTGAAACATTAAAGCTTTTATGATTTCTCCTAAAGGTCAAATATAAAATAAAAGGCAGTTTGGAAATATTAGAAATGATGAATAAAATACACCAATAAGAGCAAAAAGAAATACAGAAAGCCATTACATTTTAATATTTTACCTTTTCGCCAGTAACACCCTTTGCCCCAGGAATGCCAGGCACACCCTAAAAGAACACATACAAACGTGGGCTTAATCACCCCATCTGAGAGGCGGTGAGATGCCAGTCCTGGCAGAATCACGGTAACCTCAAAGCTTTAATGTGAGGGCAGTTCTCCCTAGGCCCCCAGTTCTGAATGGTCAGTTACAGAACTACCCACAGTGTAAACGGCATCACTGTATTGTAGCTGGCTTGTTAAGTCCGAAGCACCCTTATAGCAAATTCTACCTCTAAACCAAAGTTATTTTCCAAGGATGAACTTCCAAATTAGAATCCAGTGCTATTTTTCAAGTCAACAGGAGCTCTTAATGGCATGATTTCATGTACAACATAACAAAACAAGGACCAATCAAAAAATGCTAAGCTTCAAGTCCAAAAATGGAATGGCAGGAGGATGTGGGGTCTCAGATTTCATATTTGGAGAAATAACTATTCAGAGAAAAAAGCTGGGAGTCCTGAGAGTCTCCAACTGATTATTTTTAAAATGTCAGATAGCATAAAAAATCGGAGGCCAGACTTCAGTATTACCAAGGATCCCTTAATAACCTGAGGCATTTCCCCTCAAAGAGCTAAGGACACATGTGGTATGATTCACATGAACGTCCAGCCACCTTAATGCCAAGAAATGCTGATAATTCAAAAGAGCACATAATCAAAAAATGGCATCTTGTATCTCACGCGGTTCTCTGAGGATACTCTCACCCCTCTATGGCTCAACCCACTAACAAGAGCTTCAGAACTGTTGAAGTAGGAGGCGGGGTACAACCCTGGCCCATACCTGAGGATCAGTACGACGATATAAGGAAGAGTGAGTAAATTAGAGAAGAAGGACGCAAAATATAAATTAAAGTTTAGTATTGTTTTAGAGAAACAACTATTCAGAGAAAAAAGCATAAACAATGCAAATGCAGAACTCTAAATGTATAGAATTAAAGCATCATGTCATCCCCAGAATTTACCAAATTAGTTAACATTTCTCCCCCAAATTCCTCTCTTCAAAATACATATTTACACCAGTAAGCATTTAAGGAATCAAATACTCACAGGTAACCCCTGCAATCCTGTATCCCCAGGGGGCCCGGGTTTCCCTGGTTCACCCTGAAAAAGAAGTTTTTATTGCACCATTGCACCTGTGTGAACTGCTGTATTTCTTTTAAGAAGAGGAAGGACACAGACATTCTCAGTAGCAGGATTATCCCTCAGCTGACCTTACATGCACTTTTCTAATGGGATCCAGTTGAGGGTGGAGGAATGGGATAGGACTTAGAACATAAATTCAATCAAAATACACAATTTTCTCCAGTCTACTTTCATCAACGGGGCAATTTTATTGAGTTCCTGAAACCAAGCAAACAAATGTACCACTCTAATAAGTATTTCGAACTGACACTTGACTAAAAAATTACAAGGAGGAAAAAAGCCAAAACCAGCTAACTAAATCACCCCAAATGCAGTAATGGAAATTCCATGCTTGGCTGGTCAGGGCAGAGACAGCCGGGTTCACTCTCACTGAATCACACAGTTACCTTTGTCCCGGGCATTCCAGGTATCCCGTCGCGGCCGTCCACGCCCGGCAAGCCCTAAAGACACATGAAAAAACACACCGTCTCTTAGACACCGTCACGCTCTCCTTCCCTTCATTATGTTCTGAAGTTTTACGACAAGCTAATAATCACTTTGGAAAATGTGCTTGATGACTATAGCCCAGGACGTACCGTGTCTCCTTTGGACCCAGGGAGGCCAGGAATTCCTCTAGAACCTTGATCCCCCTGCAGGGCAGCAGGGGAAAGAGAGACAAGACTTGCTCAGTTACCACAATTCTTAGGACACATCAGAGGGAGAAGAGTCATCAGCAGATGACATGGAGAAGCACATGCCTGTAGGGACTGACACTAATGTGAACTTACCCTATCTCCCTTGGGACCTGCTTCCCCCGGAGGGCCTCGCTGTCCCAGATCACCCTGTATGCAAATAACATTTTGTTAATGTACACCGAAGTTACTGATAGACTCTTGAAATTATAAAACACCATCCATATACCTTGCTCTCGCTCTTTCGTCCCAATGGCTTTGCGCTCTCACGGATGCCCAGCTCAAGAGATCTTTTTATGAAAATTATATTGTCTTAAAAGTTGATACTGCCATAGGGATGACTGAGACTTGCATGCACTGACTTCATTTTCAATGCACAGTGCTTCTGAGTTCTTTGGATGTGGGTACAGGTATAATGAAATTAAGGCGCATCCTGCAGGTAACCTTGACATCAGCATCTGTATCTCATACCGGCTACCCTCATTGGCTATCATGGGGGGTCAAGGCTTGGATTGGTTGCCAACCTTTTCTCCAGTCTGTTTAATTCCCTAATCAACAATAATGGTTCCTGTCAAAATTATCCAGCTATTGTTAACAAATGGTATAGTAGTAATCAATGAGAGGAGGTATCTTCCTAAAATATAGCTTCTGTTGAATTGTTTATCTAAAACCTCAAATGCCTTCCTATTGCTACCAGCTCAGTTCAAATTTGCTCAGACTGGCATAAACACTCTCCACAGTGGAGTTCTTACCTTGCCTATTTAATTTCATCTTCTCAACAGAAACGTTCCCCTCCAGGGACTGAGGGCACATGCCCCGTCCCACCCACATGGTGATACACCGCCCCCCCCAACCAGGGTGGCTTCGAGACCAGCCTTCCTCTGAGGTCCTCTTGCAGGATTACCTCACACGTGCTATAGCGCTTGACCCTATAATGTGTCGTTTCGTTACCTTCTGGCCTTCCCACTGGACCATAGGACCTCAAGAGTTAGAAATTTTATTTTACTTATACCTTTTCTACTTTTCCTGTGGCATAGGTGATTATTAGTGAGTGGCTTTTGTTTATTTACTTCCAGAAAAGGTGTGAGGCATCCTTCAATAATGACACATGCACATACAGCCATCAAAATAGGGATTAATGAGGTCAGGAGTCATAGAAAAGGACAAGAATAGAACTTGCCAGGAAGCTGACATGAGATACTGTGACTAAGCATCCTGACAACCAAAATGAAAAGAAAACACAGAAAACATGAAAACTGGACAATCTGACTTGGCCTAGAAGAAAAATAAAACCCATATTAAGTCAGAAGAACATTTCTCTGTACCCAAGAAAGAGTCGCTTGTCTTAATTTTTTAAAAATTTAATAAATATAAATACTATTTCCTATTTTCCCACTTCAGTTATTCACCTGTAAAAGATACCTGCATGTACACACACACACACACACACACACACATAGCAAAAATTTTATCACTGATCATTGCTAAAAAATATCTATCATTGGGTCTTGTGAAAGGACAACTACTTACAGGTGCACCAGGAAGACCCTGAGGCCCAGGTTCTCCATCTAAGCCCCGAGCACCCTTACAAAGAAACAAGACAAAGAAATGAAATTGAGGTCAGATCATATATTTTAAAGGGTACCTCAGTCTTTCCAAAGAACTTTAATAGCCAGATAAAAAGGAGGTTTTGTATCTCTCATATATAATCCATTCATCAGTGAACCCCAGGGAGAATGTTATCAGAAAGTTCAGATATGAAAACACTACTTTGCATCTTCTCATCCCGCTGAAAGTACTTACACCCAATTGCAGGTACCTCTGGGTATTTTAGTTGACCTTGTATGCATTCTTGACTGATGACATGAACTGAAACCTTGGAGCCTATCCAGAGAACGGAGCAAACCTATTGGGAGGGGGTTGGTGCTCAACGTCCAGGGGCTCAGGAATCCCGGGGGGATCCACCACTGAGGAGAAGGAGTCAGCCAAAGGATCTGTGCCAAGGACCCTGCAGCCCCGACAGCTGGTGGGGTGCGGATTTCTGGGACTGCATTTCCACCAAGATCTACAACCAGAATCCAGCCATGTTATTCAGAAGAATAAATTGTAATAAGGATTTGATCACCTCCTTTTCCATCCCGGATAGATGTTAGGTTCAGTCTGTATAAAGTGATCGATCTTCTCAACAGTCCCCCCCTACCAAGCAATGATGGCATAAGAACTACAGAGGTTTATAAATCTAATTATTTTTAAATTAACTCCAACTTGGCTATGTATTGTACATATCACCTTCTTATTTTCAGTATAAAAACCAGAATATGATTATAAAACAAAAATATAGTGATTTTGAGTGCTCTCTGCATAAGCTACATGAGGAATACAACCCCCTTCTTTACATCTTTTTCTCACCTACTAAGTGAATGAAAGGCAGAAGGGGGGACTAGAGTCAGCAGGCCATCTCCTAATGAGCAGGTTGAGATGGGGAGTTGATAAAATAAATGGAAAACAGTCAAAAGAGTATTGGATAGATGTCAGGTCAAGGAAACCAGGTGGACCAACATCTATAGGAAGAACTAAAAATCAGAAAACCTTTGATAGAAGGTTCAGACATAGGGAGAATCAAACAGAGATCACAGCTGCAGCCACGGCACCACAGAGCCTGGAAATCCTCTGATCCCTACAAACGAGACCAGAGGAGACGGCATTCCGCGTTCACCAGGGAAGAAGAGGTTTGGAAGGCCTGACCAAGACCCTGAATCCGTCACCCCCCCTGCGATGAGAGAGCAGAGCGCGGCCTTTGCCGGATAGAAATGGCTTTGATGCACTCCCTCCCCCTCTCTTGCTGTTCAGCATGAGCTCAGACCCAAAGTGCTGTTACTAGGTAACCACTCCACCGGTCTGAGTTCGCGGGAAGAGCTTTTTTTTATTGAAAGCAGTTTGACAGAAATCAGAGGAAATGAGAAATTATTAAAAATTCCAACTAGAAAAATACCTCTAATAACGAGCATATCAAGAACAGTGACTGATTTCAAAGTGAGGGGTCACAAAACTTAGTAGATGATTTAAACCTAGAGAAAGCAAAGGCCTTAGGTATCAGCAACTTCAAAATCAATGGGATTTATTAGTGAATAACAGAAGAGACACACATGGGAGGTTACTTATGGCAAATGAACACAGAAAGAGGAAACGTTTTTGAAATAGTGTTTTTAGAAAATAAATAATCTAGAGGAAATGGAAGAGCAAAACAGACAGAATGAGAATACCTAGAAGAGGCTGGGAAAAAATGAAATTGAAAAGATTATTCACAAAATAATTCCTTCAATTCACAAAATATTGTGCATCTGTTTTTTTAAAAAAAAACAGATTTAATTTTATTTATTGGGCATGTATAATGTGCAGGTTACTCTTATTTAGTCAGTAAGAAAAGGCTCTGTGTGGAATGACACCAATTAGCCATAGAGGTTCCAAAAAGAATGAGGTGGTGAGCAAGAATGCTCTGCTTTCTTTTCGGGAACTCACAAATTGGCTTCCTAGCCTACTTTCTAAGAAATGGTGACTGTTCTTTTAAAATCTGATGGAGAAGCGAAACACACCCCCGTACACCCACTCACAGAGCAAGAAAACCATTGCTGAGCACATCATGAATATTCAGGTTTCCACTGTTCGCGCTGATGGTGTTCACTCAGCCCAACACCGGCTGTCCACCACCCCGAGCAAAGCCCCAGCCTTCCAGACCCGCATCCTTCCAGCCCCACCTCCTTCGGGGGCCCTCCCAGGGCGTGGCAAGGCCGGCCTTCCGGGGTCTCCACCCCTCATACCACCCACCCTGAAATTTGTGTCTCTTTGTTTGCATGGTAGTCAGCTGTCTGCTTGTTCATTTCTCCCAATAAATAGCACCCTCGCCAAAGTGCTTATTCCTCTTAGAACCCACCCCTACCCCCAGCATCTCAAGGTGCCCTGCTATGGAAATGCGAGGAGAATCTGGCCTCTGAGACCAGGCTAAAGACAGGCTGGTGAACTCCAGCCCCAAGGGTCTGCTCTCTGCTGAGGGCAGAGCTCGGGGATCCGCTGGGCAGGAAGGCCGTGGGTGGCCCTAGTGGCCCTGGGGCACCCTGCCCCCTCTCGCCTCTCCCTTTCCACCCTGCCCTCCTTCACCTCACTCTCCAGGTACTATGTCAGTGCGATCGGTATTAACTATTGTTATTGATAAAGAGATAAAATATGACAGTCCTGCCTGCTCCTGTTTACCTGAGATAATTTAAATTACATAATACGTGATATGTATCCTGCATCCTACTTATTTCTGTCATCTGTGCTTATAACTGGAATCTGAGAACCTAACCAAACATATACATAGCTCTAAAGAAAAAATAAAAAGTGGTGCTGTTGACAAGAAGATATTTTTAAATGGCCAGAAATTTGAGTATTTATACAGTTGCCATTATATCATGATCACCATCTTACTTTCTCCCCTTTGGCACCAGTTACGCCAGTGATGCCTCTCCGTCCTTGGGCTCCCTGGAAACAAAAAAAGAAAAGTGAGTTATTTGAGTTGAGCGCACATTTGTTTATCTCACCACAAAAGTCAATCCTGAAGAAGGATTTCATCATAACCAAAGGTAGTACTAAGACATCGTGACATTATATAGACAAACTTTTCTAGTATAGAAAGAAAAATCCAGGCAGAATTCTTCTGATGGTAAACCTTTTTTTAAATCCTATAAACTTATATAGACCTGGAATTGGAACAATTACTGATGATAAAAAAATAGCATTGGCATACAAGAATTATGATGATATATTTCTCACATAAACAAAATACACTGCCATCCCACCTCCTTCATGCTTTGCGACTTGGCTACATGTCACATGGTTGTGATTTTAAATCTTGGAATGACTTTTCCCCACCAATGTGTGCCATCAGAGACTAGCTTCCCAGGCTAGCCCACGAAAGCTTATGATCTGTGAATAGAGTTGGAGTCTCTGTTACCCACTAGGAGCCACTGTCCATCACACCGTCTCTGTCATAGCTGCATTCTGAATTCCGATTTGGAGCAGTTGGGACCCATCTTGTCCCATTTGAGGCACAGGAATAGGTAATCCTAAAAATGAGGGTGTGCGGTGTGATTTCTAGGATTCTTGTTAGTATTGAAATGTCACCATTCTCAAGTCTCTGGCCCTACAGAAATGGATCCTGCGATGGGGGCACCAGGGTGGGTGGGGGACCTGTCAGGAACGCGGAGTGGCTACTTCTGAGCAGGTAGCTAACTGTGTGCTGGAACTAGCCCAAGACAGAGCAGCTCTAGGCCAGCCTCCTCCCTGGGGCCCTCACTTGGAGAAAATGCAGGAATTCCACAGCCAACATTGCGTATCGAGGTCCATCAAAATTCCACGTAGATCAGTTAGGAATGACCCGAAATCAAAATGGGAAGAGAACCCAGCTTAGGATACCCACTTAGGAGATGAAGTGAGATGTGGCCATATCAGACCAAAGCTGCTCTTTATGAAGGTAATTCTACAAAAAGAATTCCAAGAATATTTGAGTCAACAGCAGTGACATAAGAATGTCACATATTCTCTTTTGATGTGACTCCTTTGAAGGACAGAGCTTGTGTATAAGAGTTAAAAAGCATTTTTTTTTCAAAATCTGTGCACTACTTTATAGATACATATTTAAAAATGGGAAGTCTGTGAATTTGACTGAAGTATTCTGGCATATCGACTCCCAAACACCAGAAGGTCAGCAAGCACAACACTGTCCCTTGCTGGGACAGTGGGCCATCAGTGGGCCACCTGAGTGGGTCCACACAGCACCCAACCAAGATCCTTGATTCATCAAAGCCCTTTTTGAAAACAGTACTTGCAAAATCCTGTTCTGAGGATCTGTGGAAATGGCTTTAAAAATAACGTCATTTATACCAAATTTTCATCAGATAAAAAAAAGGAATATGTCTTATACTAATTATCTCTATCTCCCACCCACGAAATTAGCCTGTCTCCTTATTGTCTCACACCAAAGACTCAGGGAAGGCAAGCTTCTGGAACAGACACCTTAGACTCCACTAGCACCTTTAAGTTCTCACGTGGCTTAAAAGCAGAGGCCATGTCTGACAGATTCTCTGGCTCATTTCCTTTGGCTTGATTTCCCTTAAGCTCTCGGTAATCTGCACAGCTCCCTGAGCACTTTGTAAAAGGCCAGTCATGTAGGCAAGAGCCGAACCTGAGAAGGGAGTGTGACCCAGGTTTGTCTCCCTAACTCTTCAGTTTCTGAGACTAGAACCTGAGCTGATTGTTGACACAGTCTATCCTGTGGCTAGCTGCAATGTTCCGTGAATATTCTGAGACTACTGTTTCCATAATTATTACTCATTATGATAAGAAAATAATGTAACAATTCCACTTTTATATACAAAAGTAACATATATTCTGATTTAACAACCATTTAAAATTGAAGTCTGTCTATGCCCCAAGTTAGCACACTCCGTACATTACTGCAGGAATCTGCCAAAGCGTAAAGCACCAACTTCCTATTAGAAAGACATGGTTATGAGCAATTAAGAAGGTTCTAATTATATTGATTACATTCTGGCATAAGCTATATTAAATCCAGTGGTGATCATATGCAGGGCATATGAAATGTTCTCACTATATCATGTGCTAGGACCACAGAACGTAAAACATACACATTATCTTCCTGTGTTCGGTATCTGTTTTCAGGCTGCCCAGCCCTGAAATCTAGTAATGGAAGGCGTGTAACTATAGGTAGAATGTTTCTGTTAAAATACTGCTTGAAGGTACAAAGGGATGCTTTCCTGTTTTCAAGCAATGGTAATTTCCCAATGCTAGATTGGTGGAAAAATACAGAATATCATGTTAATGTAAACCTGTTAAACCAAATGCTAAATAGAAAAGGTTCCAGAAGTCATGCAGAAAAAAAGAGTTATTTGCATATCTTCATTAAATATTTTTTTAAAATACTTTACTGGAGGTCCTTGAGCTCCAACCTCTCCCAGTTCTCCTTGGTCACCTTCTTCACCCTAATGAGACACAGAAACACCAAGCGTTATTCTAACAAACGAACACAGAAATAGGCTTGGCTAACTGAGCATATTTTAAATCCCTTTGGTATCCACTGAGTTTTTCTACTATACTTTCTTAAGTTATTTTATGTGAGTAATCCATATTAACTGTTGAATATTCAGAAAGCACAGAAAAGTATACAAAATCACCCAAATCCCACCTTTCAACTGTAAATACCAGTAAGTTTTTAGATGCTTTTCTAAAGATGGGGTAGGGACAGAGAGAGAATATGTATGCTTTCCTGTTACAAGTGTGTGTGTATTTTGTGGGGTCAAGGGGTATTATTAGGAAGATATAATACTATGTGACCTTTTCTATAAACTACAGTATTACTTAATTATCATTTTTTGCTTTTCTCACTATAATTTTTGTACTGTATATGACTTCTAAAATGTATTTAAATCAGTCTTTCCTTTGGTGATTTAAACTTTTTATATCACTCATAGAAAAGCTTTCTCTACCCTCAATATATATAAATAGTCATCTATACTTTTCTTCTACTAATTTTATGGTTTAATTTCTTATATAGAGATATTTCATTATCAGTAATTAATTTTGATACAAAATATAAGGTGGAATTCTTTTTTCGCAGTAACTGGCCACTTTCTCCAATATCACTCATCAAATAATAGTCTCTCCACACAGGCTGGACATTTTTAATCTAACAGACACTAAATTCTTAAATATACTTGTTTCTAGGTTCCCTATTCTGTTTTACTGATCCATTGTATGATATTGCCAATAACACATTTTAACTATTGAAATTAATCTCAAGTAGAGAGAATTGCTTTATATTTATTTTTCATTTTTAGTTACTCTCTTTTTTTTTTCCAGTTTTTCTTAAATGTTTACTCTTCCAGATGAGCTTTAGAAGTGTTGGGCAGATCTTCACAAAAATACTACTTGCTTGTATCAGAATGGCATTAAGTCAATAGATTCATATGGAGAATTAGAATCTTTACAATATTGAGTCCATCTGAGAACTCAGTATTTCTGTTTAGTCAAATCTTTTCTTTTTGTTTTTCTTTCCAGCAATGAAGTTGTGTTCCTATCTTCATATTCGTCTCAAAAGTTTCTTGAGTTTCTTCTAATGCATTTTGACTATTTGGCACCTATATTGCCAATAGATTCTTCTTCCATTTTGATTTTTAACTAATTATTGTTTTAACTTTTTAATATTAATTTATAACCTCTGATGTACTTTTAAATGTTAGTATACTCCAGAAAGAAATCCAACTGCTATTCTTACAGAAATATTACTTTCTTGACTCCAAAAAAAGGTTAGTTCCCCTCAGAGAAGGGTTCACTTTTTACAACAGATATGGCCCTACATCGCCTATGGTAATGGGTATCTTAAATTTTGAAATTAATAGTGAGAAAAATTTGTAATTTTTAATATTATATATATAATATCAAATAAGAATCCATTTCTATTATTACATGTTTCAATTCATCCATGTTCTTGATTCACAGATTATTCCTAACATTTAGAGACTTTCACACACACACACAAGGAAATATAGAAAATTTAACAGCAGTATTCATATAGAACATTTAGGCACATAATACACATAATTCAGTTGTGCCTAAATCACTTATACTTGATTTTTGAATGAATTATAAGAGTCTTGTACAGTGGTTTTTAGCTTCATAATTATATTCAGATTATATTCCATAAAAACATATGATTGACAGTGGGGAGAGGCTGTCCCAGTGGGAAAGCCAGTGAATAACCCTGCTCATGGAGTAGATAATCAGCACATTGTATACTTAAATGCTACTTGTACTGCCCAAAAATTCTAATGGAGATTGTTATGACCACTGGAACTTTTCGCTAGCAGGGTTTGGGATATTTTCCCATAGATCCTTGTAAACCTTAAGAGTAATGTAGTTGATTGAAATACTTCACCAGCAGATGAACAGCACACAACTAATCAAAAACCATGAAGTAAATGATAAATTTAAGAATAGCAATCCATTATAATTTTACTGACAGATTATTGACTATTCTTATATTCATAAACAATTTAAAAAATCTTTACTAATTGTACAGTAAATTTAAGGCACAATTGTGAATCCAAATGCAGACTTCAGGCTCCTGGCCTCTTAATTCCACATCCTTGTGCTTTCTCTCTTTTTTTATTGAAGTATCATTGATACACGATCTTACATTGTTTTCAAATATCCAATACAGTGGTTCAACAGTTACCCATTCCATTAAATCCTCAATCCCATGAGTGTAGTTCCTATCTGTCAACATTGGAAGATGTTATAGAATCATTGGCTATATTCTCCATGCTGTACTACTATCCATGTAGCCAACTTATATTATGATAGAAAAATTTTGTGCCCCTTTACCTCCCTTCACACTCCCCACCTGCCCACCTCAACACCCCCCAGTGGTAACCACCTGCCTCTGCTCAGTCTCAGTGTTTATGCATCTACTGCTATTTTGTTCATTCTATTTTGTTTTTAGATTCCACAGTATGTGAAATCATATGATATTTATCTTTCTCTACCTGGCTTATTTCCCTTAGCATAATACCCTCTAGATCCATCCATGTTGTTGCAAATGGCAGGATTTCTTTTTTATGGCTGAATAATACTCCATTTTGTATATGTACTACATCTTCTTTATCCATTCATCTGTTGATGGACACTTAGGTTGCTTCCATATCTTAGCTACTGTAAGTAATGCAGGGTGAATGTGTCTTTTGAATCAGGGATTTTGCTTTCTTCAGGTAAATTCTTAGAAGTGGAATTACTGGGTCGTATGGTATTTCTATTTTTAGTTTTTTGAGGAACCTCCAGACTGCTTCCCACAGTGGCTGCACCAATTTACATCCCCACCAACAGCGTAGGAGGCTCCCTTTTCTCCACAGCCTCGCCCACACCGATCATTTCTTGTCTTTTGGATGGTGGTCATTCTGACTGGTATGGAGTGATATCTCATTGTGGTTTGATTTGCACTTCCCTGATGGTTATCATAGATCCTTATGCTTTCAATTTATAGTTTAGGACACCTATTAGCCCTTTCAAGGTTCATTCTTCAATGCGCTGTTGTCATCCTATCTTCATATGTCCATTTTCAAAGAAACCATTGAAAATTTTAAGTGACACAAAATGTGAAAGAAAGGAGTTTTCAATAACTTCCAGTGGAAATTTTGGCCCATTATCTAACAATCCAAAACAATTTGCTGGTTCTTCACTGGAGACCAAACTATATTTGATAGTCCAGATACTAACTTGTATAGGTATCAAAAATACTGGCTTCATGTGGGCAGTGGAGAGTACCTGACAGCTCCGCCCCCAAACCCCATGGGCTGGGGGAGTAGATGTTCCTCAAAGAAAAGCGGCGACCGAAAGACAGAGAAAGGGATTCCTAGCATCAAAAATAATACAAGTCCACTGTATCTATTTTACTATACTTATTGCCTCATAATTATCTCTTAGTTAAATTTCATGTTTTCACACCTATTTTCATGGTTAGATAATAATCCATTATACGGATTTGTCATAAGCCAGTCAGTCCCCTGTAATTAGACATATTTTTTCACTTCTGTGCCCCCAACACTTAGAATGAACCTTCTCATACAGCAGGTACTTAACAAATATTGATTGAGTTTTTTTAATTATAAATTTTAAAGTTCAGTGGAGGAATAGGCGTGCAGAAAAATTTCCAAGTACTCAATTTATTTCTCTATTTTCTCCAATTTAACATCAAAGACCCAGCTGTTATACTCCAGACAAATAAAATGCCTTAATTATTCAGAGCTTCAGTAATAAAAGACTTCAGAAATAAATGTCTAAACTGTAATAGGTACAGAAATTGGCTCATTCATCCTGATTATCTGAAGTTGTTCAACAGACTGACTTAGCTAAGGAGTTCAAGGATATTAATGCCTGCTGATATTAATAACTTCTCAAGGCCTTAAATTCCAAAGAACATGGCTAATCTTTGCCTCTACCCAGTAAAGGTATAGAAGGAAACAGTCAACAAAGTCTAGAGGACCTGCATTAATAAGAACAGTTGGACTTTGTAAAACATGATAGAACTAACAGGGACAAAAATTCTATACAGAAAGTCAAATTCTTAGACACTTAAAGGTGATTTACACTAGTGGCTGAGAAAAGGGCATTAAGTCACTTTGCTTTATTTCAGCCCTGGTTTTCTGCAGGGCATGCCAGCCTCAATGCAAGGTGTGCTCTGGAGTCCATAGTCCATATTTCTCCAGACGATAGCATGTTAGTCCTATCACTAACTTCCAGATCTCTCAAGATTCTAAATTCTATTGAAATGAGGTCAGAAACACACAAATTATTTCAGAGCTTAAGATGAGAAGCTGTCAGCCAATTACCAACTTCTCCATTTGCTAGTCGCAGCCAAACTTGTGATAAAATTTTACACTTGTCAGAAAAGCCTGTTCCATGGAGTGGAAAAGCAGGCTGAGTAACATTTGACCTTTCAAAGCATCAAGGGAAAGAGCTGAGCAAGATGAATTTGAAAAGGAAAGCAAGGGGTAACCAGGATGAAACTATACAGGGCTATTGCTAGAATATTATGCTTAATCCAAATATTGCTGCAGCTACTGAGAATTTGTCAGTCATCATTAGAAAATGAAGAGCAAAGCGTCATGCTTTATTAGTTCCTGTAGTGAAAGAGATCACTGCCTCCTAATCATAATTTACCAGCTCCATGCCCATTTTCCTTACCTTGTGACCTTGTCTTCCGGGTTCACCAATCTCTCCTTTATCCCCTTTATGGCCCTAACAAATGCAAAAACAAACACACAAATAATAAAAAATCATATTGAGTTTGGTGCAGAAAGTAGTCAGAAGGCTCATAAGGTGACCTTGCTTCCCTCAATCTGTGTCAATGTGCTGCTAAGAAAAAGGTTATGTCACAAAGAAAATGACTGCCTTAATCGGCCCTAATAACACCGCATGTATTACATGACTACTGTATATGATAAGTATCATTTTTAGTTAATAGAGAAACACTTGTTCTAAAATAACAAGGCTTCGTTACCTGGTTCAGCGACATGACTCACTCTCTGCTGGCTCCCAGATCCCTCCATCCCACACTTCCTCTCACAGTCGGCTTAAGAGCAGTAAGTCTTCTCCAGCATCAAGAGCTTACTGTCAGAGGTGACAGCCCTGGTCTAGCTCAGCAGGCTCTCTGCTCTTCAGAGGCTATTCTGAAAACCCTCCCCCTCCTCTGTGCCAATCCTCCTGGACGTTGAAGAGGGGCTGGTGTAAGAAGGGCACTTCCCAGACCGCACAGCCGGCTGCCTCTTCTTGTTGACAATCTGAAGTACGCAGGGAAATCCATGAAGGGCAGTCAGTGAAGGCTGCATAGCATGAGATGATCCCCGTCTTAGAACAGCTCAGGCCACCTGTTCTAAGCGCACGTGTGCTCTGGGCAGTGTAACAGGAGGTAAACGTGACGCAGCACTTCAGGACAGCCTGTCACAGCTCTCAGCCTCAGAGCCCTGCTTGTTCCAAGGGCACAAGGCTTTGGGAAAATAAGGGACCAGTCCAGGCCCAGATCGTGTGCAGTTGTGGGAACCCCTAAAAACCTGCATTAGAGAGAAAACCATCACTGGAGAAGCAGTGCCTGGAGCCTTTCAGATCATGGCAGGGCTCCAGGGCACTGGAATTTTTCAAAATCACTTCAGACTCGTAGACTAAAGAGAGAGAGAGCCTTTTAACTCCAGCACATGGTATTTATTTTTTTATTTTTATGAGAAATTGTAAAGTGATTATGAAAGCGGAGTGAGAGAACAACACTTTTGGAGGGTCTCTGTTCTTGCCTATTTTGCTCAGCTTTTTCAATTTTTTTTAAACTAAAACAGTCTAAAACATGTGTGCAATCCCCTCCATAGGAGAAAAGTTTGCCCTCCGTAAGAGAAACATTTCTGAACCTTAATTTGCTGTTTTAAGTTTTTTTTATTCCTTCCCAGAACAGAGGGCTGTACAAGGAAACACCTGTGTCTCGGTGGGAGGGCCTATCAGGGGCACCCCAGCAGTGCACCGGCCAGAACTCCCAGGACTGAATAAACACCGCAGACAAAGCCACAGAATCAGTGCACACAGTCTGGCCTCATCCATTAAAGTGGGGTCTCTGCACCAAGGCCAGTGATTAAAGGAAAGGTCCTTTTTTTCCTGTGGCTAACTCTTGAAAATAAAAAACTGAAATTGTTCTCTTACCCTCATGCCTGGTATGCCTGGGTAGCCTGAGCGACCTGGTGGACAGGCATTGGGGCACTGCCAGAGAGAGAGAGACAAAGACAGAGAGCATAAGCCAGAGTCCCTACTTTACGACAATGATTTTTTTTTTTACTACTCCTTTACTACCTTTACGACAATGGTGGGGTTTTTTTTTAGGGATTCCAGCTGTAGAGCTCCAATGTCATTATATTCATATAATAACTCTAATACATAACCCTTTTCTTTTTTTATTTTGAAAAACTAAAATATTTTATTTCATTTTGAAACTTGTAAATATTCCTAGCTTACAGAAAAATACATAGCACATAACAACACCTTTCCCTCATGCATCCACCATCCAGGTTTAATACATGTTAATATTTTGCCATAGTCATTTCAGATTTAATTTACTAAAGAAATAAAATGTTTCCAGACAACCCATTGCACCTCACCGTGATCCGCTTCTCCTCCCCCTCTGCTGGAATAGCTCTGCCTTGGGGTTTATCTCCTTTCATTGAATGGGCCAAAACTGCATTTAGTGCAGTTTACCAACATCATTTGAACGTTAGTCTTTACGTAAAATAAACCTCAGAGTTATCTGACTTCTCTCTCCTATAATTGGGGTGCTCTGGTGAAATGCATTCATTAGTCAGAAAGTAGAATGACTACAGAAAAGTCTCCTCCCCCTCTGCTGGAATAGCTCTGCCTTGGGTTTATCTCCTTTCATTGAATGGGCCAAAACTGCATTTAGTGCAGTTTACCAACATCATTTGAACGTTAGTCTTTACGTAAAATAAACCTCAGAGTTATCTGACTTCTCTCTCCTATAATTGGGGTGCTCTGGTGAAATGCATTCATTAGTCAGAAAGTAGAATGACTACAGAAAAGCAAAGGAATTTCTATAATGAAAACCAGTTACAGCCTGAGCATATACAACCCACCAGTCCCCTAGTGCTGTGGATTGCTCTGCCATCTGAGTGAAGACGGAAATACAGCATATTCCAGCAAGATTGTCTTAAAGAGGACTCGTCTAAAGATTACATGGTATTCGACTTAAACCTGTACTTTGTTCAAAGGAAAACATCTTACCAATGGATCTCCATCATGAAAGCCAATTGTTCCCTAAAAGTAAAGAAAATATTAAAGTTAAGAATATAGTTAAATATTTAATTCAAACCCACTGATAATAGAAAGCTCATTGGATAAAAATATAATAAATATATTCAATAAAATGTAAGGAACAAATAGCAACATATAATGTGCGTTTTCTAAAAACTTGACTCCTGGGCATATGTTTGTTTTGGAGAACCTGAAATTACAATAGATTATTTCTTTCAAGGAACTGAAGGAAGATGAAATGAGAGAATAAAAGATGTGGGAACTCCAAATTATAAATTAAAAATATGGATTATCTCCTACTTAAACTCATTTTTAAATTGCTTACTGTATAAATCCTTCATAAATACTAGTTCACTTGGAAATATTCCTTCGATACCTCCAAGCTTTGAGCATTTGAGAAATCACAGCATCAAAGGACTTCAAATAAAATGAGCAAGCCATTCCCTGTGAAAACCATCGTTTCAATTATTATGATCCTTTATTTTTCTGACTTAGAAGGACCCACGGTCCATGTGGGTGGAAACGCCTGGCAGCCACTTTGGAATTTTAGGACCATGGCTCTGTCAACAGTACTTCTACTTGGGGTTCTTAGATTTCTCTAATCCCAACTCTCAGACACAGAGAAATTCAAACTGCAAATAACTTACGCTGGGTCCCGGAGGCCCAGGGGGGCCAGGTGGTCCTCTTCTCCCAGGGTCACCCTAAGTTATTTGAGAATTGGGACATAGTGGTTATTACATGTGTCAAAACACAGTGTATGAAACCGGTGAGGCGTGATATCATTAGAAACCCCTGCAGAGCTCAGCCGTGCATAGACCTGCCACTAAAATCGATGGGTGGCACATAATCCAATTAGCTCCACAAACCTAGAAGAGTGGAGTTCCAGGCTCACCAAAATGACAGGATGAGGGGAAGGGAGACTGGGGGACGAGGCAGAGCATGTCCTTCCTTAGAGAACGATCACCTTATTGTGAAAACAAACTGGGAACACTACGCGTTTTTCCAGTTGGTTGTCAGAGGGGCTGGAGCAGCCCGGCTGCTGGGCCACCTGGTGGACAGCAAGTAGTGGAGGAAGCCCTGCGCCCGGCCTGACGCTGTGAAACGGGCAGCGAGGCTCTGCTGCCCCAGACCAGCCCCTGCGGGGCCTGCTGGCGAACGGGACAGAGGGCTGCAGATGGCTAACTGCAGAGAAGCCCCTCAGAAGAAAACGGGTTCCAGTTCGCCTGAATAGCCGGTTTTACCCCTGGCATATTTTTTTCTTTCTTCATGTTCTACCATAAGAAGTCAAAAGCACCTTACAATTAATTTAGCTTTACGATCATTTCATACTCGTTCATTTGTTCCTTAAACAAGTTGTGAAACAACAAACACACATAGAGAAGCAGGAAATAAAATTCTCAACTTCTAGAATTAGTGAATTTTTGAAATATTTATTGAATATTAATATCAAGCATTTAATACCAGCAATTTCTTCTATGAAGTTGAACTCTTTGTTGCCTTAAGTTATGTCGGCTCAGTTATACTTTAGTGATCCTACCTATACACGGTACGAATGGCTGCTCACTTTTCGTACAGAGAATCTAACACTTTTAAAAGACACTGCACCCCAATCCTGGCAGAGAGCCTGTAAAATGGAGGTGACACTTTCTGACTTGATAACTAATTAATTCTGGAAATTGAGAAGAGACAGTTAGCTGAAAACTTTAGGAAAAAAATTAAAAATCAGTCTACAAAAACGAGGCAGCATTATCATCCCTGGTCCCCATCGATATTATGAACTGGAATGAAATTCATCTGCCATTTTTTGTATTTGCAGGGAACATACACAGTTAGGATCATGTGCCTCCCTATTAAATTAGCAATGTCTACTTTTGGCCACAAATGTCTATCAAAATGCACTGTGTACTCACAATCGATCCAGCCCGGCCAAGCTCTCCAGGGAGTCCTGACGACCCGGGGGGACCCTGAAGTCAAGAAAATTAATGGGATATGCTAATTTATGGATGATTTTACCATCTATTACAAATGATGTCAAACATAATAAACAACCAACTTGGAATTACGTATCTGAGCTATGAGAAAAATTAAAGGGATATGGTAATTTATGGATGATTTTACCATCTATTACAAATGATGTCAAACATAATAAACAACCAACTTGGAATTACGTATCTGAGCTATGAGAAAATTTTTTTTAGCAGAATAGGGGTGCTGTCATAGCAGCCACCTAAAATCGTGTGGGTAGGATACTATCAATATCCATTGAGTAGAGTGTTAGTTAGAGACTAAAGTTGGGACCGGAGAAATAGCCCATTTTTACAAACTACAGGAAAAATAAACAAGAGATAATACTTACAGGGGGTCCTGGAATGCCACGGCCCTGAAAGATTAAAATAAAAATTGTTATGGTATGTGATTTATACTTAGTATAAATACAGACACAGATATAACTCAGTTCAAAAGTAACTATAAACTTCACCACTAAATAAATATATGATGCTCTTTCTAAAGAAAGGACTGGATGAAGAAAAGCAAACATGGCTCTCCTTCCAAAGGACAAAGAAGTTTGTTTCAGCTCCTCAAAGAATCCTATGTCTAAGATAACCATTAATATTTTTTCCTACTTTTTTTTTTAAAGAAAATCAAAGTAAACACGTCATCCATACTTGACTTCAGGAGAACTTACCATCACTCACAAAGAGGTACACCACGACCTGACAGTTTAAGGACTTTCTTGCCTGTTGTGTTTATAAGAAACCTACACTAAAAACAGTTCAGTGGACTGCTTTACGATGTATCAAATCATGTTTGGAAGCTCCCCGAACAAACACCCAGATGTGTGAGGTAGGGAGAAAAAAGGGTCAGGAACACACCCCCTCCTGACAGGTAGGGCCACACTTTCAGACACCAAATCCACTAGATATTGATATGAAATGGTGTCACTCCTGAAGTGACCTACGACGGGATCCTAATTTAATCTGCTGAATTTGTCTTTAAAGCCAGTCATTCGGTCTCCCTCTTCTTTCCACGTTCTATCTCCTTAGCAACGCCAAACTAGAAAGCAAAGATTGACACCACATCTTATTCATCCTCCTAACCTCAGTACCTCGTCCAGGGCCTAGGGCATAATAAACCCCAACTATATGCTTGTAGAACTTAATAAAGCTGAAATTATCAGCTGCCTACAGTCCTTCATTCTCTCTCTTTTATTTCCAGGACCAATCTTCCCCGCCTTGGGATCGCTCGTTACTCTCTCTCTTATGCCGGCTTGAGCAGCTTTTGTTCGCAGCGCTCTGTGATTCGGCTCTGACACAGTCCTCAAGGCAGCTTTTCACTCTACACGGTCTCTTATAAAATAACCATATTTGAAGCATCCAGAGTGGGATCAATATACACCCTCTGATGATAATACTGTTATTTCTAATTATTTAGGCAGCCAAAACTTGCAAGAATTTCACATACGCAGTATGAAAAAGTAAAGCATTGTCAAGGCATTCTGCAAAAAATTACACCTATTTGAACCTTTAAATACATGGATCAATTTGGGAGATAAGTGCTACACTCAAAAATCCCAAAGTAATCAATAAATCATTTCACTATCAAGGACCTCGATATCTGGTAAATGTCACTAAAGTTTTTAAAGAGGCATCTCTCTAACTTGTTGAATTCTGAATCGAAAAATATGGGACAAAGGAGAGCAAGCTATTCACTTCTGAAAATAGGATTGTAGTGGAAGAGTTGACAGATGCTGAAATACGGGAAAGAAAACAGAGTAAACAGAAAACAAGAAGGAAAAATACAGATTAGTGACAAGAACAAGAGAGGAATGAAGAGCAAAATAGAAAAGAAAAGCACACTGAGCACCTAGTCCTCTTACTGAGAGAAACAGCACAAGTCTGCGGACTGTGCGATGGGGGACAGACCAGCCAGGGAATCAGGCAGGCGATAGTATCTGACGGTTGATATTTCCTTAGAGATAAAACCTGATGTGAAGAAAGTCATGTGATGCCATAGTCTAAACACTGAATACTTAGATTTGCTATTGTTATGCAAGAAATGTTTTCTATCAAAGGGTGTATTGGGAAATACCAGCTGAGACAGACATACATGTTTCATACTGTAGTTCAAATTCTGTATAATTTTCCTACTCATAGAGTGCTTACCGTACCAGATAAGCCGTAAACTCCTCTGTGATCTATTTTATGTAGAATATTGCATTCAAAAATTTCATAATGGCAGAATGTTACCTAAGGATAGTCAATTCTGTTACTTTATATTTACTTACTGGAAATCCACGAGATCCCGGCACGCCAGGTTCTCCCTAAAAATAAAAACAGCTTCATTGTACTTAGCTTTTGCAATATGTAAATATGCAGACTACATATGTGTTGAAATCATTAAAACACTATCTTAGTTGACGAGTTTATTTCAGCTGCTTTACAATGAATCTGTTAGTCGATATGCAAACAAAATCAAATCATACTTCAGCTTTTACTTTATCCCAGGTGGCTGACTCACTTTTTGCCCCCTTGGTCCAGCAGAGCCGGGGGATCCATCCGGTCCTGTTAGTCCCTAACAAAACAAGATGATGTTAGAACTATTACAGTATCCTAAGGCAAGCCACTGAGTCGATGATTCCATTTTATTTGTTCGTATGTATAGAATGGTCACCTATGTTACCTGTGATGCAAATATTTATAAAGAAATATCTTTCTGTATTCATACCCAAGGGGAATGTTTAACATGAGATCTGCCTGTTACTTTCTATTGATAAATTTATCTTATTCCCAACTTCCTACTAACTGCACTATCACAGGTTTCAATAATTTAGTATTTTTTCTCTGTGCTTTGAAAAAATACAGTATAACAATTAGTGTTCTAATAGCTAAATCCGATGGAACAGTCCTTGATTCTGCCACTTACCCATGAAGTGCACCCAGTACTTCATTTAAAAAATAAAGACACTATACGTTGGTATAGCTCTCTAATAATGTCTTAAGAGTTAAGAAAATCTTTCTTTAATAAGAATTAAAAGTAAACAATTTCATTATTGTCTTATAACCACCTAACACCCTCTATCCATCTTGAAGCAATGAAAATTGCTTATTAAAGAACATTAACTTTTAAAGTTGAAACATTTGAGAACATGCATGTTTCTGCATTATCTTCCTTAGTAAAAATAGCTACATTTAAGTATATATTTTCTTGTGAGGCACTCAGTATATAGAATTTATGCCAGTTACTCTAAAACACATTTTAGCTATCATTTGTAACAATAAAGCAATTATTAAAGCATATCTTCGAAACATTGTCCTTTTCCCTGGCAATACTTATTTTATTATCAACCTCAATATAAAATTAGGGCATGATAACTCTATATGTGCATCTGAATTTCCTTATTTGGTGAAGATGCATTTTAATTTTTTCATTTTTTTCCCTACTCTTTGACACTCTCAGACATTGTAATTTATAATGTAATCTTGAAATTATACCTTGCTAAAAATAATGTCGATGTGTATCTGTATATATATTTACCTATATGTACATATGCATATTACAAAACCCATCTATTATCAGACTTGAAAAAGACTCAAGGGATACTAATCAAAGGAGGGTTTCCTTGAAAGTATGAAAGCCCTACTTAAAACTGAATTATCAAAATCCACATTTAGTCCATCATAGTCTGTATAAATATCAATAAAATGCTTCCATGTAATGTATATAGAAAACCAGTTCACTGGCCACCATTTTCACATTTCTATCATTTTTACTTTTTACATTTACATCAACTAATTTCTGTCATAACTCCAAAGGAACTAGAAAAAGAAGTGAGTTGAAATAGTAATTACAAGAAATTTGCCACACAAGAAAAGTATTAAACACACACAAAAGGATTTTTGACAGACTGTCTTTGGTTTTCCATCGCCCTAGTTTAATTAAAACACTGTAATTTGGGAACGAGCACCAGTGATGGTGGAGCGTTGCCCTCTGTACGTCAGCAGACAAACCATTCACCAGGAGCACATAAGAAAACTCTAAACCTCAGGGCAGGTCTGACCGATGGACATCTGACTCCCACTTCACACACATGCCCTCCAAGACCTTTCCCGGCCAAGTCCCACCCAGGCAGCCAGCTAACCCTCGTTCACCTGTGTCTGGAATAACTGACAAGATCGGAGGACAGTAGCTTCTGTATATGGTAGGATTCCCGCTGCATAATAATAAAGCAGAATCAAGTAGGTATTTGGATAACTTGGAAGCTGCTTCCAGTCACTTCTTACTGAAAGTATCCTCCGTAACTTAGGATACATTATGTCCATCACTAGGACATAATGCTCTTTGAATTAAACTGAAAATACATCCTGGTGTCAGATGGTAGTGTGATTTCTGTTAGGAAATAGCTATAAGGTCCATGGGGACAAGAAGTGTGTGCCCACCACAGTCCCAGCACATGGCCCCTGGCATCTAACACTCAGTACATGGCTACTGAATACAATCAATTTCCATTAGCCTATTAAGTGGAAGGATATTACACTTGTCCCTCCACATCATCTTTATTTGTAGGTCAAATCCCAACTCTGCCAATTATTAGTTGTGCAACCATGGACAAGTTACCTAACTGTATAGTGCCTCAGTTTCCTAATCTGTAAAATAGGCATAATAGTAAGATCTACTTCATATGGTAAATTTGAAGATTACATGGGATATTTCATGTGTAATAAAAACAGTGCCTGGTGTAGTGGGGCCTGAATTATGTTACCTGTTCATAAGGTACCATCATTATTTTGTGATCAGCTTTGTTTTAGATGGTGTGAAGAATTCACAGAAGTATAAGATATGTTTCCTGCCCTCTGGGACCTAAGCCCTCATTCAGAAAAGGTTCCGCAAACAAGCAAACAAGCATTCCAGATATTAACCCTGGGCACTGTACTTCCCGGGTCCCTCACATTTCTTTGATGCCTATTTCCACTTATAATAACCTTTCAGAATAATTTCTTATTAACTCACTATCCTAATCCTATACCATCCACCAGGGAAAGTAGTGTATACATTCAGAGGATGTTGTAACCTCTTCCCTGTAAAAAGTGGCATAGTTTCACTAGAATTCCTATATTTATTCTACCTCTACTCTTGGATGGATGATGTAAGAACGAGTAAAATACTGTTTTACAGAGCTTGCCAAGCACACCACAGCCAATAATACCTATCAGAATAACTCAATTCATATAACTGACGATGATAACACAGTTGTCCTTTGGGTGCAAGGTTATGAACAAGCTCTGACTTCTCTAATTGTAAATGTGTTTAAGGGAAAAGAATCACACTAAAGTCTTCACAGGAAAGAAAAAATTATACATATATAAAAAATCTCCCACATTTGCATTTACACACACACACACACAATTTGCAACAATTCTTATTTGTCAAAGAAATGACAGAAGAAAATACTACCAGTGGCAGAAAGAATTGCTTTCATATGAATGTTAATGGAAATTAAGTTCTGTACAGAAGGATATCGAAGCTAACTGCTCTCCAAGGCCAGGTTCTGAACTTTCATGCTGTTGCTTGGCAGAGAACAGCGGCCCTCAGGAGTAATTTCCTTCCAGCATTCCAATGATTCGGCTCCTGAGGCTCACAGCATAATTCTGCACAGCTGCCATGATTCTGCCGCCTTTTCTGTCAAAAATCCACTTAGGATAGTTACCCTTAAATCATGTCCCTTTCAGATTCTTCCAAACATCATCTGATTAACCATTTGTTAAAATTACCAAAAAATACAGCTTTGCAGTGAACCACAGAACAGAAGACAAAGTGGTTGAGGTTTAAGGACCTCCTACTGCACGCAGGCTCACCTATCAAGAAAAGACTACTGAGTACTTAGCTTCCCTCTATCCAGGGACAGGCAAGCAGCTAACTCTGATTAGTTACTGGTATTTCATTATTCTCAATGTCTAGTTTCAATTTAGGGTAAAAGATTTGCTTAAAATATCAAATGAGCCAAAGAGTGCAGTAGGAAAATTTTTCAGCTCTGTATCTTGTAAGTGCCATGTGGCTCTATTTCAAAATTTGGTGACTATGAACCTACCAATATTTATATGTGTATCTGTATATATATTTACCTATATGTACATATGCATATTACAAAACCCATCTATTATCAGACTTGAAAAAGACTCAAGGGATACTAATCAAAGGAGGGTTTCCTTGAAAGTATGAAAGCCCTACTTAAAACTGAATTATCAAAATCCACATTTAGTCCATCATAGTCTGTATAAATATCAATAAAATGCTTCCATGTAATGTATATAGAAAACCAGTTCACTGGCCACCATTTTCACATTTCTATCATTTTTACTTTTTACATTTACATCAACTAATTTCTGTCATAACTCCAAAGGAACTAGAAAAAGAAGTGAGTTGAAATAGTAATTACAAGAAATTTGCCACACAAGAAAAGTATTAAACACACACAAAAGGATTTTTGACAGACTGTCTTTGGTTTTCCATCGCCCTAGTTTAATTAAAACACTGTAATTTGGGAACGAGCACCAGTGATGGTGGAGCGTTGCCCTCTGTACGTCAGCAGACAAACCATTCACCAGGAGCACATAAGAAAACTCTAAACCTCAGGGCAGGTCTGACCGATGGACATCTGACTCCCACTTCACACACATGCCCTCCAAGACCTTTCCCGGCCAAGTCCCACCCAGGCAGCCAGCTAACCCTCGTTCACCTGTGTCTGGAATAACTGACAAGATCGGAGGACAGTAGCTTCTGTATATGGTAGGATTCCCGCTGCATAATAATAAAGCAGAATCAAGTAGGTATTTGGATAACTTGGAAGCTGCTTCCAGTCACTTCTTACTGAAAGTATCCTCCGTAACTTAGGATACATTATGTCCATCACTAGGACATAATGCTCTTTGAATTAAACTGAAAATACATCCTGGTGTCAGATGGTAGTGTGATTTCTGTTAGGAAATAGCTATAAGGTCCATGGGGACAAGAAGTGTGTGCCCACCACAGTCCCAGCACATGGCCCCTGGCATCTAACACTCAGTACATGGCTACTGAATACAATCAATTTCCATTAGCCTATTAAGTGGAAGGATATTACACTTGTCCCTCCACATCATCTTTATTTGTAGGTCAAATCCCAACTCTGCCAATTATTAGTTGTGCAACCATGGACAAGTTACCTAACTGTATAGTGCCTCAGTTTCCTAATCTGTAAAATAGGCATAATAGTAAGATCTACTTCATATGGTAAATTTGAAGATTACATGGGATATTTCATGTGTAATAAAAACAGTGCCTGGTGTAGTGGGGCCTGAATTATGTTACCTGTTCATAAGGTACCATCATTATTTTGTGATCAGCTTTGTTTTAGATGGTGTGAAGAATTCACAGAAGTATAAGATATGTTTCCTGCCCTCTGGGACCTAAGCCCTCATTCAGAAAAGGTTCCGCAAACAAGCAAACAAGCATTCCAGATATTAACCCTGGGCACTGTACTTCCCGGGTCCCTCACATTTCTTTGATGCCTATTTCCACTTATAATAACCTTTCAGAATAATTTCTTATTAACTCACTATCCTAATCCTATACCATCCACCAGGGAAAGTAGTGTATACATTCAGAGGATGTTGTAACCTCTTCCCTGTAAAAAGTGGCATAGTTTCACTAGAATTCCTATATTTATTCTACCTCTACTCTTGGATGGATGATGTAAGAACGAGTAAAATACTGTTTTACAGAGCTTGCCAAGCACACCACAGCCAATAATACCTATCAGAATAACTCAATTCATATAACTGACGATGATAACACAGTTGTCCTTTGGGTGCAAGGTTATGAACAAGCTCTGACTTCTCTAATTGTAAATGTGTTTAAGGGAAAAGAATCACACTAAAGTCTTCACAGGAAAGAAAAAATTATACATATATAAAAAATCTCCCACATTTGCATTTACACACACACACACACAATTTGCAACAATTCTTATTTGTCAAAGAAATGACAGAAGAAAATACTACCAGTGGCAGAAAGAATTGCTTTCATATGAATGTTAATGGAAATTAAGTTCTGTACAGAAGGATATCGAAGCTAACTGCTCTCCAAGGCCAGGTTCTGAACTTTCATGCTGTTGCTTGGCAGAGAACAGCGGCCCTCAGGAGTAATTTCCTTCCAGCATTCCAATGATTCGGCTCCTGAGGCTCACAGCATAATTCTGCACAGCTGCCATGATTCTGCCGCCTTTTCTGTCAAAAATCCACTTAGGATAGTTACCCTTAAATCATGTCCCTTTCAGATTCTTCCAAACATCATCTGATTAACCATTTGTTAAAATTACCAAAAAATACAGCTTTGCAGTGAACCACAGAACAGAAGACAAAGTGGTTGAGGTTTAAGGACCTCCTACTGCACGCAGGCTCACCTATCAAGAAAAGACTACTGAGTACTTAGCTTCCCTCTATCCAGGGACAGGCAAGCAGCTAACTCTGATTAGTTACTGGTATTTCATTATTCTCAATGTCTAGTTTCAATTTAGGGTAAAAGATTTGCTTAAAATATCAAATGAGCCAAAGAGTGCAGTAGGAAAATTTTTCAGCTCTGTATCTTGTAAGTGCCATGTGGCTCTATTTCAAAATTTGGTGACTATGAACCTACCAATATTTATAGATAATTATAAATTATTTTTATTATCCATATCATTTTTCAGACACTAAAAATTCACTGTCATCTTTTTCTCCTTATTTTCTCTGATTATTCATCTATTTAAGAACCTCATTTTTACCCACATGAGGCAAAACTGGAAAGAATGAATCTAAAAACCAAGGAATCTGGTTTCTTTTGCTGTCTTAGCTGCTAAGTAACTCTGGATCCCTGAAAAAACTACTTATCCTCCTAATTATTCAGTTTCCTTACTTATGGAGAAAATTAGCCAAACCTGCTTTCCAGTTTACTGTGAGGTTAAGGAGATAATATTTGTGACTGTACTTGAGAAAAAAGTTCTACACAAAGGCAAATTAGTATAGTTAATTCTTTTGCTTAGTTCTGGCACATAAATGTATTTCTTACTTTTTTCTCTCCTTCCCTTCTCTTCTCCTTTTTTTCTAGCTTTCCTGGGAGACCTCAATCCTAGGAGACTGGTTCAGTGCTCTTACCAGTTTCCCCCTGAGGACCTTCCAGAGTCAAAAATTCTGTAATATAAGACTTATTCTTTTATATTCTTTAACTTTGCAAACCGGTTTGTTCTGCAACTACCGACAAAGAAAAATACTGCTTGTAATTGTTATCTACATTGTACTTCTAAAGATTTTGAAACACTTTCTTTTGTTCATCCAAAATTTCTGTTCAAGTGGGGAAATTATAAAGTAAAACCAGGCATTGTCTTAATGAGTTTATGATAAAAGTTAAAGAAGAATTTGTTGAGCACACTATAAAAGCACCATTAATCTGAGGCACAGCCTTCTGTCCAGTCTTCTGTCTGAAATTATTACAACTCAGTTGTGAAACAAGACTTCAGGTGATTGGTGTATGCTTCAACCACCACAAAATCTGATTTTTTATTTTCAAAACAAAAGGCAGTCCCACATGTCAAAGGAATGCAGAAGTAAATGGACCTATACTGCGCTACTAGTTTATTTAGAGGCTGTATTTATCAGTTTTTTTATTATTACAATTTCAAGTTACATTATTATGATGACAGTTTCAAGTAATTCAAGGTGTTTTAAAGAGCCTGTTAGCCAGAAAATGACATAATTTCAGCTTTTATTATACAAAAATTAGTTTGATATTTAGTTTGTATTTTCAAATATTTGTTCTTAGGGCCTCTGTACTGCCACTTTGCATATAGTTCAAATTAGGGGCTCTGAAATGTAAAAAAAAAAAATCTGTTTTCTAAAGTACTAAATGGCATAGCCAAATTACCCTCATTATGGTAATTCTGATAAAGAAAACACATTAACCACTAAACTCTAGCTTTTTTTTTTCTTTTCCAAATGAAGGATGTCTTAAACTCTAGTCAAAACATTATTGAAAATTATAGTAATAGGTGTTCAGGTGCTCCCTTGATTTAGAAAACTCTCTAGTTTTTGGAAACCACGTGAAGTGGTAATTTGAAGGGTAAGTTGAGGGGCGCACCACTGTGCGTTCTCTGAGAACAGATGCCTATCTTCACTTTGTACCCCAGCAGCAAAGTCAAGGGCTGGCCTGTGCTGGGGCCTCAATAAGCATTCCTCCAGTGCGTGGAGAGAGAAGCTCAGAGTCTGAAATCATTTTACTCTGCAGAAATATTGCTTATTATTAGGTTCAGCGTACAAATCAGCATCTGAGCTTCCCTCACACGGGGGGAGGGGAGTGCGGAGGTGAGTAAATTGGGGAAAGGTTGCTGGTTCCCAATCTTAAAGCAACCCTAGTCAGCTTACTTTTCTGCCAGCGATGCCAGAAAAGAAAACACGGTAGAAAGAGAGAAAACTAGTTCTGAATTTCCCATTGAGTGAACGCTGACCGTTCCCTGCGCCCCCCCCCCACCCCCATCCCTTTCGTTCAAGGGCATCTTTCCCCTTTTTCTCTCCTTAGGACTTAGAGGGGCGCTCTGCCCTTCCCCTGCCAGCAGGTTCTTATCTAGGGGTGTCGGTGAGAGGGCCAGAGCACCGGCCGGGGTCAGGGCCACGTCCCTACGCCGCCCGCACCGCCACCGCGCGCGTGTGCACACACACACACACACATGCACACGCACACACGCCTACTCACGTCAGCGCCCGGCGTGCCTGGCTTTCCCGGGGCTCCCGGCTTGCCCGGCTCTCCTGCAGGACCCTGAGCAGGGGGAGGAGGAGGCAGGGAGAGAAAAGGGGGCAAAGTTGTGACTCTTGGGATGAGCGTGGCTGCAAAGCAGGTTTAATGCAAAGACGTGGAGCACCGACGCTCTGAGCAACTTACCGGGGGCCCCGGGGGACCCTCTGGGCCTCGGTCACCCTGGAGGGGTAGGAGAAAAGGAGAAACAGTTCATGAGTGGGGGCGCTGGGGACCCGGCTGGGAGAAGCCCGCGCGTGTCCACCACGCAGGTCGGGGGCTGGGACAGGCAGGGTGAGAGCTAACCGGTGGAGGTTCGTGACCGACAGGGACACCTGGCCCGTCTACCTCCTCCCTCCCGGAACCCCCGGGCTTTTAGGATACAACCCCCAACTCTCAGCCACGCCCGATCCGGCCTCTAGGGGGGCCTGGGGGTGGGCATCTCGCCCTCTCCGAAACCCCCTCAAGCCGCGGGAGGAAGGGCACACAAAGGCAGGACACACTGGGGCTGGAGACAGAAACTTACGTCAATGCCATCGATGCCCGGAACTCCGGGGGGGCCCGGCGGCCCGGGGGGACCCTGCTGGCCTGGGGGACCTCTCTGACAAAAACAGCGCGCGGGTTAGTGAAGCACGTTGGCCCACGACGAGAAACTGGGCGCAATGTTCTGAGCGTTCCTCCCCCTCCCACCGCCCATAAAGATACCTCCCCGTGGAGGCCACGTTTTAAAACACAATATAATAAATGTGCATCAAACTTCCAAGGGCGCGTGGGTTTGCTGTTCTTAATGAGGCTGAACAGTAGAGTTAGAACAGGATCTATGTCCCCAAGGTGGGGAGAGGGGTGACAGGGCGTCACCTCTACAGAGGGCATTAAACTACAAGCGGGTCTTGAGGAAGGAAGGGCCTGATTCCGTAATGAGAATGGTGGTCGTCCGATACCTCGGTTTAATCAGTAATTTCAAGTCACTGTTTTGGTGCATAGGGGACAGCTAAGAATGGAGGCGCTCCACAGCAGGTCGATTACAGTGTCTTTTTGTAAACCTTCCTGTCGGGGGGAAATCGGGGGCGAACCCCTTGAGGAAGATGGCCGAGAAGGGCAGGGAGCCGTGGTACTGGGCCGGCACCGGCCTCGGTTCCGAACCGCCTGCGGAGACACTCTTGCAAGAGATCTTTGCACCTCGCTCCACAACTCCCCCAATAGCACGCTGACCCTGGGGTGTGTGTACTCGGTTTAAGGCTTGCGAACAGCTACGCTTAGATGACTAGAGGGAATGCTGGCGTCTGAAAGAGTGTGAGCAGGTAGTTTAGGGAATGTGGAGTTGTTTTTCTTTTCTGAATTAAAAAAAAAAGCTTCTTTCATCAAGGAAAACTGTGTTTTTCTAAACTCCAATGGGCGGACAGGTTACAATGGGGTCTTTGTAAGTGAAACCTCAGACCGCGGCTGGGCTGCGCTCCCCGCCGGGTCGTCCCGGGCGCGGGCGGGAGGGGACTCCCGGGCCGTCGCAGAGCTGCTGGAACGGCGACGGCAGCCAAGGCCCGGGGCCCACCCCCAACAGCCCGCGCGGCACCGGCTCCGGGCCGCCTCCGAGGGCGCGAGGACACGAAGAGGCCTGGGGCCGCCCGCCTGGATTCCCGCCGCCTCCAGCAAGGCCTGCTCGGCCCTGCGACCAGGAGGGCGCGGGGCTCCGGGCTCGGGTCACCGAAGCCTGCAGCGCGCGAGCCTGCAGCCTCGGGGCCCGGGTGGGGCAGAGGCGCCCTTTCCCAGCCGGGGTCCTCCAGGGGGCCCGCCTGCTCCGCCTCCCGCGGCAGGTGCTCAGGGCGGGGGCGCGCGCGCCGTCCCCGAGCCCCGCCGAGGCCCCGCGCCTCCCAGCGCTCCTGCGACGGCTGCTTCCCAGTCCTCCCAGTGCGAGCTGGACAAACGCCAGCACTTCTCGCCGCCAGCTTACCTGTTCGGTGGGCTGGCTGGGCTGGAGGGGAAAAGATGGGGATAAAGTGAGAAGGCGCCCCCGAACTAGGGAGCAACTTACCTGGGCCGCGCACAGGCAGAGCCCTGAGAGCAGCAGGCGCAGCCCCAGGGCCCCGGGGCCCCGCGCCGCCCAGGCCATGCCCGCCGCCCTCGGCTAGCCCCGGACAGACCGCCTGGGGCCGCCCGCTAGGCTTCCCCCGCCCGCCGCGCGCACAGGCGCCCCGGGAGTAGTGGGAGCTCAGGGGGCCCGGCCTGGGCGGCGTCTGCTCCTCGTGCTTAATAAGGGCCCTGGAGAGGGTCCTGGGGATTGGAGGAGAGCTCGTGGCCTGGAGCACGGATAGAATGACAAGTCCCCCTTAACCCTTTCCCTGCCACTACACATGCAGTGCCACCAGCCCCAGGGCACTTCCCACTGTCCTGGGAGCCTCCTCAGTTGGCCTGTGGGTCACTGGGGGGCCGGGCAGGCCACCAGTGAGTTTAGAGAGATGTTTGGGAGAGGAGGGAGGGTCGTAAGCCACCCAAGTGGAACCAGACAGTGTAGGTCGTTTCCACAGGCCAGGATGTGGATGGGCCCCGCGCTTCCTTAGTATCTGTCCTAACAGCAAATCCTGAGCTCTTTAGAAAAGGGAGTGTGGAGGTGGAGAATTCGGGTGCCAAGAGAGGTAAGCCTGGTGCCAGTGGCCCTTGCAGGTGGTCGGGGGACTAACCATTATCCTGGCCGGCAGCTCATGGCAAGTTTCTCTCCTGGGCCGCAGAGGGTCACAGTGGATCAGCATCCACTGAAGCTCAAACTGTAGAAAAACAGGAGACAGTCAGTTCAGGTTCTTTCAGAGGACGGAAGCAGACCACTGAAGACATTGATGAATTTAAGTGACTGACACCAGCTTGAATTGGTTGATCTCTGTGGGCTAGTGTATTCCTGTTCCTTGAATACAAACTTCCCAGTGGACATGGGCTGGAAGCCCTTCCTGGTTTCTCTGGGTGCAGACGTCTGTCACTGCAGGACTGCAGCACAGCCCGAGGCAGGAAACAGACCCCTGGCACAGACTCTCTATTTCTGTCCTTCGCACAACCTCAAGAGGCGGATTCTATTAAAATGAGGCTCAGAGAGAACAAGGAACTGTTCAAGTCACAAGCCAGTGTTTCCCAGAGTCTGGATTAGAACCCAGGCCTGTTGAACTCCGCAGAGAACAGCACACAGTCACAGCTTAAAATGGAAATAGGAGGGAATGAGGGGGAAATCTAGGGCTCAGGGGAAAAAACAAGAGAACAAAAAAGAATTAATTTGGTGTGATCTTCTTTCATTGGTTGAATAGAGAGAAAATTTTCAGATACTTAAATCCAAATGTATCCCGCCAACTTGGTACATTGTAGCAGGTGTTCAGGGAGAAAGAGGAGGTCCAACAGGAAAGAAACAGGACAAAGGAGGAAAGGCCAGGTCTGGATCTGAAAGCCTCCGGCAACAAGGTTAAAGCAGCAGAAACAAAAGTGCCCCGCAGAAGCCTGCCCCGTTCCCTGCCCCTGTGGACTGAGGATGTTCCTTGCCAGGCAGTTCAATCAAGTCACATCCATCTTTCCTGCTCTGATGATTCTCCTGGCATTATGCCATTGGCTAGTTAAGTATCCCAGTCCCAAATCTAAACATTATCTTTTCTTTCATCCAACAGTAATTTGCACCCCATCCCACCTGCCAAGTGGACTCTAGATCTGCCAGATCTAGAATTTAGTTAGATATGTTCTTTTTCCACTGCTACGGAAACATCCAGAGCTGAGGCTAACTGGATGGGAGATCAGAATTGGAGAGGACACAGGAGTGCGTCCTTCCCTCTCTACCCCTAATTAAGGGAATAGGTAAACAAAATGAAGGCTTCCGTTTCCTGAAGTGGTGAAGACAAGACATCCAAGCTTTCACAGCCCTGCCCTGGCCTCTCACCTCACATGCTTCCTGACTGTGCCAGAGTTCCCCTCTTTCTCCATAACTCTGGCTTCTCTCAACCCTACCCCGCCTTTTCTCCAGAAAATGTGAACATCTGGAAAAATGATTTAAGTGCAATGAAAAGAAAGAGAGCAGCTAAATCAAGACATTTTAAGATGCAAAGTTACCTAAAAATTGTAAGCAAATCATCTGTGTGTTCGTGGTGTGAATTACTTAACAGCATACTGACATTCTACAAGGAGCTGCTCTCCAAGTCACACAGCATCTTGCACTTAAGGAAATGACTTTAATCAAACACGTCATTGTTTTTGGGAATAGTCTTGTTTGCCTGGGGAGGATTTTATTTGGGTTTTGTTCTGAACTGCAGTGGAAATTTTAAAAAGATGCAAGAAAGAATGGAACAACTTTTTCCTTAATTAAAACTAAATACCTGGCAGTGCCTCAAAAACTGTTTCAAGCAGGTCACCCACGGGTAAAGTGGGCAGGTTTAAGTCACTCGCTAGAATCAGACATCCAACAACAGGCAGAGCTAGTATTCCAAATGTGGCTGACTCTACAATAAGGGAGGTGGGGGGGACTCTCTATCCGATTCAACCTCCCCAAAGAGTACATCCTGTCTCTAGAATGAGTCATAATTTTCTAAGCAGGTAACCAAGGCCTTGGGTGTTTGAACATTTGTATTAAAGATGAGTAGCAGAGAGGAGTGATCTAGAAATTAGAATTGCATAAACATGTTTCCAACATCTGCTAGGAAACTTCAGAACCAGACTAAGAAACTTCCATAAGAATTAAAATCTTTCCTTATTTGCATGCTTATTATAGAAATATATCCAGAAGCTAAATTTCCAGTGTTCTTCCAAAAGCTAACAGCTATTTCTGTATGCAGTTATGTATTCAGATTTATAATGCAATATCATATAGGAAAGAGAATTATAATTATTTCTCCTCAATGACCAGAGAAAAAAATGCAAGTAGAAAAGGAAAGGATGTCTCCCCATCCCTAACTTTTAAATAAAAGTGACCACTCATATAATCTTCTTCCTCTATGAATTGCTAACTCAAACCAGGCATGCATTGTATGCATGTGATATTTTGATTCTCAGTAGATAGTTTATTCATTCCTTAATGACCTTGAGAAACCTTAATTATGGCTAACTAGGAAGCCTATATCCTTTGTTTAGGTAGTTCATTAAAGTTACTTATTGCAGATGCAAAGCAATTCATTAAGTTGTTTTCTCAAAAATGTCATTCTCTGTGGATAAGTTGGTACACCCATTTAAATATGCAAGATGCAATCGTAGCACAGGAAAATATAAATGAAATGTGATTCATCTATGAACACAAGCTGGGTTGTCCAGAGTGCCACGTAGACCAGAGGTTTCTGAACACATCTGTGTAGCCATACAAACACCACCTACACACCAATAATCATCTCTACAATGACCATTTTTGGCAGGCAATATGAATCTCAATTTGCATATTAATTATTTTGAAGGAAGACTGGCCGAGTTCCTTGGTAAAAGTCTCTTTCATTATACATCTAAAATGCTGATAACCACACGTTTCTCCTTTTCATACCTGGGATCATTTTTCTCTTTGAATACCTACTGGCAAACTGTATGTGACAAATATTTTAATTTAGACCTTCAGTCAACATTGTTGTTAAGTCTCAACATAGACCAAGCACTAAAGAAACATTCTAGGGAAACCGAAGATGACCTCCTCCCCACAATGAGTTTACAGTTGGTAAGATGAGAAAAATACAAGTAAGTGAAATAAAAGGGTTTCTTTAATCTGTTAGCACATAAAATGCCCTAGCACAATCCATCCTTCTCAACATAAAATACTTCATCATTATCTCCAGAAAACTGAGTGTGTGTGTTAAGTGTCCAGACCGGACATTACTCAATTCTCTTCTATGGGACAGAAAGCTAAGATTCGGTCCTCTAAGCTAGAGTAGTGTCCAGGTGATGACACATTAAGACAAGGAATTTTGGCCCCAACTCTCTACTCTATTCATAGGGCTGGTGATTTCTACTTATTTTGCTAGATTGTTGAGAAAGATTAATAAGGTATTTAAGCCCTTCATTAGAACTGAACAAAAACTAAGAGCAGACAATTTCTTTTTCTCCTGAGAGAGAATTCTAATGACAAACTATGGAACTTGGCTTAATATTAATGAGAATGGATACAAGGATTGATGTTTTGCAAATGGAATTATGATTGCATTTTACAAGTGTGAAATGCCTAAAAACTAGCTCTTCAAAGATAATTTTTTTAACAGGAGGGATGTTCCATTAAGCTTTCCTCTCCTCGGTGGCAACAAAGATTTAAAGACATAGTTGAATCCACAGATCTCATCCTTCCTTTCAGTTTATGACAAAATGTTGGTTTCTACCATCATAAAGGACCTCCTTCATGTGAAGCTTCCTGGTGGCTGAGCAGGAGGCTCTGAGCTACCTTGAAATTAGAAATTTTCCTGAATCCATGTAGTCTGGGCCGTGTAGTTCCAGACACAGTGCTTGGAATTGTCATTAAATATGAGTACGTGACAATAATCTGAATCATGCCGAGGGCAAAGGCAGACTGGTGAAAGGGAAGAGCAGAAGATTTGGAATTAGCAGGCCTGGCATGTAGTCATTTATTCATTTTCCTATTCAATGTATCTTTACATAACACATTCACGTCCTGTGAAACAGATACCTTGGGAGAAACAAATGGTATTTAGTGTAGAGGGCGATACATAAGCCAAAAAATGCTTTTGGCAATAAATACCATGGCAGCTGGTATGAATGGTGGCTAAGGTCATCAACAAGGGGCTCATAGAACATGTAATAAGCAGAACTGGGGAGGGTTAAGGTTGGAGTTCTGAAGAGAAGAGGTGACTAGACCAAGGTCCCGGGGTAGGAAGTGATGCATAAATATGAGGCCCAACTCACTATGGCTAAGTATTCATCAGGTTTTTTCCCCTTTCCTGAATCTAAGCTAAGGAATTTGAGTATTACTGAATACCTAATTGCTGGATTGTCACTGAAGATTTTTGTACAACAGGAATAGGGATGGGAAAGGTGGCCTAATGTAAAAGGGCGTTTCAAGGAGGCTCGTGTGCTACTACCTGCCTTACCCTCTGCGGCAGAAGGCAGCCACGACTGTGAAGCATCCAGAATTTTACCCTCTGAGCTGTGGTGAGGCGTCCTGAGTTACCTGCCACTTAGCCCCCGTCATCTCAGCACCCTGTAAATGCGTTGTTTCAGGAGTCCATTCCAGGACTTCTCTATTACACTCAGCTACCAGTGATTCTGTCTTGTTTCATGGCTTTAATACCATATCTATATTGAATTCCTGAAGTCTGATTCCTAGCTGGACCTGCTTCTTGGACTCCAGAAGAATAAACACATCTCACTGTCACTCAGCATCTTCATGCGAATAGTGAGCAAATCCTGATCAAATGTACGTGTTCAAACAGCTCCTGATATGCTCGCTGATACCTTCTCACCCCACATTCTTTCCCATGTCAATAAATGACACTGTTTCCCCGTTACTTCCTCCAAAAATGTTGGTGTCATCCTTGATTCTTCTCTTAAACTTTAAGTCCCATTTGCTCACCCTCCCTGAAAAGGTGTCAGGATCTGACCGCCCTGTACCACCTGCCGCACTACCACCCTGTACCAGATCACCTCTCCCTGTCGGAGTCAATGCAATAGTCTCCTCGGGTCTCCTCCTAAGGCGCCCCTAAGGCTCTGGCCTTCTCTTACCCTGCAGTCCATTGTCAAACAGCCGCCAAAGACATACTAACAGAAAAGAACACGTCTTCTCTATCCAGAACCATCTGCCAACTTCGCATCTCACACAGCA